CACGGAGGCCTGAGTTCGATCCCTGGCCACGGAGCTGGCCCACATGGTGCAGCAGACCTCTCCTGTCTCCCTGCTGCTCCCCACAGCAGTGTATTTCAGTAGATCCACCTGTTCTACTCCCCACTCTGTCTCTGGTGAATCCTCTGGCTTACCCTGCACCTCTGGCTTATACCCCAGCTCTTGTATGTATAAATAAATAAAACAAATCTTTAAAAAAAAGTTAAAGAATAAAAAAGAGCTTGTGACTGTTACAAGTCCATCTTGCAGGTATAGCTAGGTTAAAGATCTTGAGATGGAAGAGATGTTCCTTGGTCTACATGCAATCACAAACATTCTAGAAGAGGGAGACGAGAGGATCCAAGGAGGGAGTAGGAGGTATGTATAATGATGGAAGCAAGAGACTGCAGAGATTTGAGTACAAAGTCATGAGCCAAGGAATGCAGATGGCCTCAGAGGCTGAAAAAGACCAGGGAAGGGTGCAGAGGAGCCTCCAGAAGGAACTGGCCCTGCCCACTCCTTGACTGTACCCCAGAGACACAGATTTTGAACCTCTGACCTCCAGATCTGTAAGAGAATAAATTAGTGTTGTTTTAAGGACTGAGTTTGTTGCAATTTGTTTTAGGATAACAGGAAATGAGTATAGTTTTCTATTTAGACCGTGAAAGTTGGGACCTAATATAGTTTTGTAATGGCTCATTGGCCAGCTAAGGGTGGAGTTGAAAGACACACAAACCTGCCCAGCAGAAGCAAACCAGGGGTGGAGTACAGTCAAGGGATATAAGCAAGACTCTGGCCTGCTGCAAGGAATAGACGGTACAGCCAGCTGGGGAGGGAAGTTCATTCCAACAGCAGGCCCTAAGGTGAGTTTGCCCAGGGAAGGTACACAAAGGTTGATAGCAGTCTGAGCTGCAAATACGTTGAGATTAATGGTTCTTATTTTACTAACACCTAAGTTGATAATGGAGAAGAGAATTTCCACCAGTGTATTGGTCTGGGTTGTCTGGATGTGACCGGGAGAAGGGGAGATGTGGCGGAGGTGCTGCTCAGATGGCAGGCGCTGACCTGCAGGAGGCCAGGTGAGACGGAGATACTGGAGAAGGCTGAGGGAGTTTGTCAGCAGTGGGGGCTGTTAAGAAACACCAGGGGTGTCCCCAATGAACTGGAGCTGGATGTGGCCATAGAGGCTCGTGAGCACAATGATTTAGTTATGTTACTGCTTCTCTTAGTGGACATAACTGAAATAGAAATCTCTTGCATGAACACAAAGAAAGGTTTTTCAGAGTTGGTGTAATTTGGATTTTTAAGGCCTGTGGGCTCTTGGGCAGCCCTATTCATTCTCCTTGTGCATGTAATTCTTTTTTTTTTTTTTTAATTTTTAAAAAGATTTATTTATCTATGCATACGCGAGCTGGGGTACAGGCCAGAGGTCTGGGGTGAGGGTGAGAAGATTCACCAGAGACAGAGTGGGGAACAGAACAGGCAGACTGACGGAAGTACACGTGGGTGAGACAGGAGAGGTCTGCTGCACCATATGAGTTGCTCCCTGGCCGGCCGGGGAATCGAACGCGTGCTGCAGTGACTGGTGATAGCTTGATAGCGCTGTCTTTAACCCCTGCGCCACCAGGGAGGCGCCTTGTGCATGTAATTCTAAGACGTGTATGCACTTGATTTCTGGCAAAACAGATCCAAAGTGGCCAAGAAGTCTGGAGATGAGGGCAGGCAAACAGCTACCTGGCCGTGGCTGCTGTGCTAGCTGTGCTAACTAGAGAAGGGGACATAGGCTCGCAGGCCCCTCCAGGCTGCCCCCTTCTGCCCCAGGATCTCCTCATCTCCCTAGAATCCACCCACCGAAGGGTTGGCTCCTGACAGCAGGGGGCTTCTGAACCCTGTCTCAGCACCAAACCTCACTTCTGCTCTAATGGGGCATGCCCTGGCCTGGGGATGCTCATAACTGGGGTAGCCACTCATGAACTTTCATCATGGAGGAACATTTATACTTGAGTAAAATGTTGCTTTCACGATTGAACAGGTGAGTTCTGCACCTCTCCCCATCTCGGATGTGAGAGATAAAACTATATGACAGGGGTTGTTTCATGAAGGAAGAACAGTCACAGAGTCACAGGCCCCGTGGCATCGACACGTCACGACGCACGAGAACAACTGATTCTCGTATCAGTGGCCCTCGCTCGTGCAGAAAGCCTCACTCCATTCAGCTTCATCTTTGTAAGAAAGCAGGCGAGAGGGGGATACATATTAGACGTTTTAATCCAAATCGGACCAAATGTCTTGGTGTTTATATAGAACCGAGGGTTTAGCCAGGTGGGCAGCCCCGGGGCTGGGAGCAGCTCCTTCACGGCTGCAGAGCCGGAGCTCCCACCAAAACGGAACAATGGCCTGTCTGTGTTACCCGGGGCCTGAAAACACGCCCTTGTGTAGCCAGAGTTATTCTTCTACGCCCTGGCAAAGCCGAGCCTCGGCTCACCTGGGCTGATGTTGCCTCCTCTTACCTGGACTCATCACTCCCCCCTGCTCACGCGGGATGACCATGGATCTGTGCTCACCTGGACTGACAGAACTTCCCTGTTTACCTGGGCAGGCAATACTTCCGTGTTCACCCGGGCTGGTCACCCCCTCCCTGAGATCTTTTTCTTTGCCTCAAGGGGCCTCAGTCATGGAGCTGGGGTGATAACAACCAAGAACAAAAGCTCCTTTCTCCTTTGTGACATTAGGTTGGGATGGAAATGGCATCCCTGTCATCTCAGGAGCTACTCACCCCTGAGGCCTGAGACAAACAGACATTTGCAATAAGACCGCAGCCTCCAGAGCTGGAAATGGGGAGCAGGCTCGGGGTCCAAGCTGATGCACAAAAACAAAAGAAAGGAAGGCAGAGAGCGCACGTCACAGACGCCAGGAGGAGGAAGCCCTTGTCCACAGCGGAGGAGAGGTCTCAGGGTCAAGGAAGACAGTGACCCCGGGCAGGCTGCTAAAGGGCCCGGCTGGTATCCAGCGCCCCTGGAGCGTGCCCCGCAGAGGGGTCTCACCCTCTGGTGACGGGACCTCGTGAGCTGATGGCTCTTGGTTTGATCGCTTTATTGGCTTGAGCTCTCTGGCCCAGCCTGGCTGATGGCCAGCCTGGGCTGAAGACCCAGCAGAGCTGGCCTGGCCAGGCTGGTGGAGGGCTAGTGGCCGTGCAGCACCGTGGTGGGGTGGCAACGACTCCCTGCAAGGATTCTGTGGGGGCAAGAAAGCACCAGAGCTCCCTGGGCATCCCCAAGTGCCAAGCAAAGGAAAGGACCCCGGGGGAAGCGGGGCTGAGAGCCAGTGGGGGTGGGACACTCCACGCCCTGTGCGGACCCCCGCTCCCAGCGTCCCCCTTCCTCTGAGCAGCTAGCTCTGCGCTCCTCTGTCCTCTCTCTGTGGTTTCCGCAGCCCCTGGCTCAGGCTCAGGCTGCCTCAGATGCCCTTGCTCCAGCACCGCCCCCCCAAAGCTGACCCCAGCTCCCCAGATCCATTTGCAGCTCCCCAATCTCCCCGAGTCCCAAGGCAACACTCAGCCGGCTCCATTTGTGTTTTCCTGCCTGGGGCTGTCAGGGGCCCTGGCCCGTCCAAAGGTCCAGGTCCTGTCTTGCTGGGCCCAGAGCGGGGTCTGGTGATCGGCAAGGCCACCCTCTCCACGGCCACCTGTAGCTGCTCCTTTCAGATGACGCAGAAATAGCGGGAGAAGGAGACCTTCGTTTCTGCCTCGAGCTCCCGCACTAACCAGCTGGGGACGACTTCATTTCCCTTCCCCGGAGAAGGCGAGGTCTGAGCAGACGGCGAGGCCACGAGCACGTTCTGCTCTGAGCACATGCACACGCACACGCACAGCACACGCACACGTCAGCTACTGAGTCTGCAGGAGGGAGATGCTATCACTAAGCCCCGCGCAAACGGGGAAATGGAGGCACAGAGTGGCTGCGTCCCTCGGTAAAGGTCACCATGAGTAAGTGGCAGAGCAGTGACCTGTCACCTGGACCCGGAGCCCCCCTTCGAGCCAGGCTGAGCTCATGCTGCCACGTGCCCTGCCAGCCTCCCTGGACTCGGCCACATGGGGGGGCAATGGGGGCAAGAGGGGTGAGCTCGGTTCCCCGGCATAGGATGGCCCTTGGTCTCGGGACAGCGATGCCTCCCGCCCTCTGCCTGTGCCCTCCCTGAAGGGCACGGGAAATGCCGATCTGTCAGCAGGTATAAATGCAAAAGTTTCTCCCTCAGCTAATTTCAAGGATTGTTTATCCAAGTGGACGCAGGAGGATTAGGTAACCCACACATCCGACGTGTGATTGGTTTGGGTGTGACCCAGCACGCTGCAGCTGTCAGGACATATCAGAAACACCTGCAGAAACACCCACGTGTGGTGGAGGGCCCAAGGATGTGGCTCAAGCGCTGGGGCTCCGGGGTGAACGGGGTGGGCGGCCCAAGGGTGTGGGAAGAACAGGAGGGCTCTCCACATGCTGCCTACCGGGGCCCAGGCCCTGGCCCTGTACACCTGGCGGAGGCAACCATGGGGGGCCGATGTCCGCTGCAGAGATAGGCAGGACATGCCCAGTGGGGTCTGGTTGGGGCTCTCAGACGCTGGGGATGCCCCTCACCAGCTCACAGAGCCCCTCTTGCCAGGAGCAGGGGCACAGGAAGTGGCGCTGTCTGGGGAATGGCCCCACCTGCCTCTGGTCCCCTTCCCTGTGGTCACTCATTCACAAAGGCCGCACTGTGCCTGCTCCTAAGTCTGGACATGGAGCGTGGACACAGGCTCGCCGGACATGGCAGTGACGTTGGAAGGGCTGGGGCACGTGCCCGCGGCCTGGCCAAGCGGGCCAAGTCAGAAGGGCCTTTGTGGGGAGCTGTCATTGTTTCAGTGAAGGGTGGATCAGCCAGTCACACTCTGTAAATTGTTATTTACAGTTTCTGAGCTTTTAAAAGACGTATGTTCTCAGAGTCGGTTCTGATTGCAGCCCAGCGGCGCGATGAAGACTCTGGTCCCCCTGCTGTCTCTGCTCCTGCTGGGGGTCCAGGCCCAGCATGGGGCTGACTGGACCTACTCAGGTAAGCCCCCCGGGGCCGGCGTCTCCCCGTCACCCTCGCAGAGGGGAAGGGAGGGCCCCCTGCACACCTGCACACGGCTCCGCTCACAGTGGGTCAGGTCTCCATGCGGACCATGCACCAAACTACACTTCAATTAGGGAAAAGAGGAAATAACCCTGTCCAGACCCCCTAAGTCCCCGGAAGGTTTCTGCTTTCAGGGCTGAGAGCCCCGCTCTCGGCGTCTGGTTGCAAAGCCACTTGCTCTCTTGGTCTGTGGGAGAAACGACTTGTTAGGAACAGACGCTCTGTGGCTTCCACTGCAGGCGGGGTCTGCCGGGCTCTTCCTGACATTTCAGAAGTTTACCTGGAGTGACTAGACTCATCAGAACCCAGAACCTCCACCGCCTGCCCCACCTTGTGGCCCTGGCTCTGCTGAGCCCTCAGTGCACCTTATCCAAACCCCACTTTTTTTTTTTCTTTTTCTTTTTTTTTATTTTAATAATAAATTTTATTTTTATATTCCCCATACAATTGCAGCCCCCCCATTCTGACCCCAATCTCTCCCCTCCCACCCCGCCCCCTTAAAAGTGTCTCTGGTTCGTAGTTTTTTGTTGATTTTGATTTTCACTTTCTTATAGTTATTCGTTTTCCTGGTCCCTTATTTAAGTTTTCTAGATTCCTGCTATGAGTGAGACCATCCGGTATTTTTCTTTTTCTTTCTGGCTTATTTCGCTGAGCATGATCCCTTCCAGCGCCATCCATGTTGCTGCAAATTGCATGTGTTTATCTTTTTTGAATGCTGAGTAATATTCCATGGTGTCTATGGACCACATCTTCTTGATCCATCATCTATTTTTGGGCATTTGGGTTGTTTCCAAAGCTTAGCTATTGTAAACAGTGCTGCTATAAACATAGGGCAAACCCCACTTTTGACATGCAAAATTGAGCCCCTGTATTTAGCCTTGGTTCTGGCCTATATGTTAGCCAAAGACAGAAAGACTGAGTCCATGGGGTTTGGACACAAAGCTCCCCTTCCATGTTTAGGAAGAGGACTCCTGCCTGTGCTCCCTTTTATCAGACAGAGGGTGCCCCCCAGGCGATCCAGCAGGAGCCCGCAGGTCACTGAGTGTGGAGTCAACTCTCTGCAGTCAGCCCACGGCCTCAGACACAAGAACACGACGTCCTGAAGTCAAGGGCAGCAGAACGAAGGACACGATGGGGAGGCTCAGACAGTGACCACTGCAGCGGGCGGGAGACCTGCTCTGACCGCCTCATCTGCCAGCCCACAGGGGGTCCCTGCTCCCTCTGGCTCCTTGGCCCCAGGGACGAGGGGCGGGGGAGAGAGAATTCCATCGAGCAGTCCCTGTCACCCCCAGGCCCAGCCGCCCCAGGTCCTGGCCTCTGCAGAGCCCACGGAGCCGGGAGAGCTTGGGGGGCAGCTGCAGCAGACGCCTTGATAGACGCCCACACTTTGCCTTTGGGTCCAGGCAGGAGCCTTGATTTCTTGCCTTTAAGCCGTCATTGTTTAAAAATGGGTTTTTATTTTAAATAATGAAGAGAAAGGCGGAGAAATAAAGAATTGGCTTTCTGCTGACGGCAAAACCCAGAAGCAGCGAGAGGCCCCGAAACAGACATTTTTCTGGAGACCATCCGCGTCCGTCTGTGGGGCTCTCTGCTACCTGGGGCGAGAGCTTCGATTCCGTCACAAAGGGGTGAACTCAGGGCCTAGGGCTGTTTGGAGCTGAGTCACCCCTAGGAAAGGCTTCCTGTCATCACTTTCTCCCCCGCCTTAAAAAAGTAAATCCACTTTGACATTTTTTGAAGTAACCATTCGAGGTCACCTGGGGATCGGAAGCGCCTTGCACTGAGTCCAGAGCTGTGGACACCCGGGTGGTCTTTACTGTATTTATGATGAAAGACGCCCCGGAGAGGAGACAGGCATGAGGAGGGGGAGGTGCTGAGTCCGCCCCGGGCTGGGGAAGGACAAGTGACATTCAGGGGTGACAGGAAAGGGCCCTGGAAGTGACGCGGAACCGCCCAGTCCAGAGCCTCTCGGGCACCATGCCCGTGCCAGCCGACAGCTCGCAGGCGAAACCGGCGCCTGATTCAAGGCTTCCGTCCAGCGCGCGAGCCAGGGCCTGGCAGTGGCGGCGGGGCCAGCGGGGCCTCAGCGCCGAAGCCCCCAGACGCCGGGGGTGGAGTGGATTCAGACGGCCTCCCGCCTCCCGCGGAGGCCCTGCTTCTGCTTTCTAGAAGGAGCTCCCGGGGCCTCCACGCAGCCCACTGCAGGCTGGGGGGCCCGCGGGGCGGCTGGCAGGTGACCATCTGGCTCTCTCTCGTCTCAGAGGGGTCGCTGGACGAAGAGCACTGGGCGAGCAAGTACCCCACCTGTGGGGGCCAGAGACAGTCACCCATCAACGTGCAGAGGAAGAACGTGCGCTACAACCCCTATCTGAAGGCCCTGAAGCTGCAGGGCTATGAGACCCAGCAGGGCAATTTCCCCATGATCAACAACGGCCACACAGGTAAGGGTGGGCGAGTCCGGCGGGGTCAGCAGGGAAGGCAGGTGGTGGGACCCCGAGGGCAGTCTCGGAGCTGGGACCCGATGACCCCCCCTTGACCTTCCCCGTTGAGTCTGTCTTCACCCCAGTCTCCTCTCCCCGAGCTCACGCAGGTCCAGCCAGCAGGGTGCTCCCTGGGCAGAGGCTGAGCTCTGAAGCCCTAGCCTGCCCGAGAGTGGGGGGCTCTGTGGCTTGCTCCCTGTGGGCCGCATCTATGTGGAGGCTCATTAGCTCAAAGCGCCCGCCAGGTAGACCCTGTATCTAAAAGAAGCTGCTGTTTCCTGCCCCTCCTCGAAAGGGGCTGGTCAGGCGGGGAGCTGGGTCTGGAAACCCCCCTTTAGAAGCCTGCCCTGGACACTGTAAAATCCAGGCCTCGAGCTCGCACAGCACCTGATGGTCCTCGTGGGCTGCTGTCTCCCTGGGTCTGTGATGACCGGGGTGGGGTGAGGGTGGGGGCATTTTAGAAAGAAACCAAAGCCCTTGGGAGGCGGGGACCGGCTCAGGTGAGGGGGTCTCTGGTGGCCCCGCAGACCCGGACCCCGGGGGTCAGAGTCCTTGGCAAGACCCCTCGGGCCCCCTCTCTCCTGCTCCCGTCCGCCTGGGCCGGCGTGCTCCCGCTCAGGTGTCTGAGGCCCCAAGACTTAGATGTCCTTGGCACAGTGGAGAAGACACAAGCGGTTGCCCTGGTGCGGCTGGGGCGGGGCCGGCAGGAGAGTGGAGCGAGGGGTGAGGGTTGAGCTCAGGCTCCGGGGGCTGGCACGGCCTCTGCCTGCGATGCACAAAAGCCTCGCTTTATCGTTCACGTCAAGCACCTCTGTCCAAAGTCACCTTGAAGCTTCCAGCAGGTTGGCGCTTCTCCCCCTCTCTTTGCTCTCCGTGGAGGCGCCCCGATGCCAAAGGGCCAAAGCCAGCAGCTGAAGGCAGGGGAGGCGTGCGTGGCTCCACCTGGCCAGCTGGGCAGGAGCCCCCAGGATGACATGGGCTCTGTGCTGCGGAGCCCGAGGGGGAGGCACAAGGCAGAGCCCAGCACCCCAAGTGCTATCTCTCCTGATTAGCAGGGCACCCCCTCCTGGGGCCTTGCTGGCCTCTCTGAAGCCTGGTGCCCTGGCCTTTGGGGTCCCCACCCCCTCCTAGCATGAGACCTGTTAGAATGCACTGCTGTGACTTAAGTTTTTGGGATGCAAAACATTTTGATTTTCATACTTGACCTTTTGAGAGGGTTTGGCTAACTCTGTTCTCGCTACACCCTTCCGGCAAGCTCCGAACACGGTCAGTTCTGCCCCAGGGGAACAAAACTCCTCAGCTACACATTTTTCAATCTACTCAAAGTTGGCTGCAGACGAAGTTGACCAACAAAGTTCACCTGATAGAATTAAACATCTGCTAATATTTATTTTGCAGGATTCTTTTATGTCTTGGAACCACTATGTTCTAACTAACTGCATTTTCAGAACAGTTGTAGGGTCATGACACAAGTGAGCGGAAGCAGAGATTTCCCATGTGCCCCCAGCCCCGCCACGTGCATGCCCTTCCCCGCTATCAATATCACTCATCAGAAAGGGACTTTTTTTGGTAAATGAAGGATGAGCCTACACCGGCTCTTGATAATCCCTCCAAGTCCATGCGTTCTGAGGGTGTAGACCGATGCGTAACGGCACGTCTCCACCCCTACACCACTATCACCACTGTGATATTACACATCATTCTCCCTGCCCTGGGCCCTCTGTGCTCTGCCTGTTCATCTCCACTGCCCCTCACCCCCCAACTATTGGCTCTTCACTGCTTCCAAAGGTGACTTTTCCAGAATGTCACATTCTTGGCCTCATAGATCTGTTTCCTTTTTAGTTTGCCTCCTCTCACCTAGTAATATGCACTGGAGTTTCCCGTGTCTTTCCATGACTTGATAGCTCATTTCTTTTTACCATGGAATAATATCCCATTGTCTGGATGGGCCGCAGTGTATTTATCCACTTAACTCCTGAAGGACGTCGTGACTGATTCCAGGTTCTGGCAATCGTGAGGAAGGCCGCTGTAAACATCCGTGTTCAGGTTTTTGGTGAGGAAGTGAGTCTTCCACTCACCTGGAGTGGAGCCAAGGAGTGCGGCTGCCGGATGAGCTGGTAGGACTGTCTTCCAAAGCGGTTGCATCTTTTGGCATTCCACCTGCAATGCACCAGGGTTTGTGCTGCTGAAATTTTTCGTCGGCATTTAGTGCTGTTGCTGTGCGGGTTCTGGGCATCCCGACAGAAGGGCAGCATCTCACTGGGGTTTCAATTCACAACTCCCTAAAGGCTTGGTGTTGAACATTTTTATGCTTATTTGCCATTTATCTTTTTCTTTTTAAAAGATTTTTATTTATTTAGGCATATAAGAACTGGGGTGTTGGCCAGAGGTGCGGGGCGGGGGTTGATAGGATTCCCCAGAGACAGCGTGGGGAGCAGAATAGGTGGATCTACTGAAATCCACTGCTGAGGGGAGCAGCGGGCAAGTCAGGAGAGGTCTGCTGTGCCATGTGGGTAGCTCCCTGGCTGGGGGTTGAACTTGTGCTGCAGTGACTGCCGATAGCTTCATGGTGCTGAGACTTCACCCCTTGCGCCACCAGGGAGGCCCCCTTCTTCAACATCTTGTTGACTTTATGAGCTTCTTTTCTTTTGTCTTTGCGAATTTCTTGCCTCTCCATATAAAATTTAGAATCAGTTTGGTGACACCTGCAGAATAACTTGCTAGGATCTTCACAGGGATTGTGTTGAATCCATAGGTCAAGCTGGGAAGAACTGACATCTTGACAGTTGTGAGTCTTTCTCTCCAGGAAGATAAACTATCTCCCTATTTATTTAGTACTGTGATTCTGTCATCGGAATTTTAAATTCCCCTCATATATATCTTGACATATTTTGGTAGATTTATATCTATTTAATTTCAAGAGGCTGTTGAAGGTGGGGGCCTGTGCTGATCGATTAACATAGATCTATTAAATTCCCCGGGGCACATGTTCAGGGGGTGGTACCTCTGCTGTGAGCACAGTGACCACCGGCCCCTCCATTAGACAGGCTCCCCTAGAGGAGGGGCAGGCCCCATTTGTTCTGTCACAGTGGCTGGCACAGCGCCTGATGTCGATGCCATGTATTTGAGGGGGAAAGTCTTGCCCAGGATAAGTCCCCAAGTGGTCCTGTGAGTGATGCAGGATTCAGAGCAGGTTCGGATCTTTGAAAGTTGTAGCAGAGAGACTGGTCTTATTTCCCTTTGTTTAGCTTTAATTTTGAAAGAAAAATTGCAAACATATCACGAAGTTCCCATCAACTCTTTTCCCACTTCCCTTACGACATCTGCATGGCCATGGCATGGTTAAGTCACTACGCTACAGATCCACTGATCTCACTGGAATTTTATCTCTTTCTTACTCGTGTGCTTTTTCTGGTCCAAGGTCTAATCCATGATCTCAGTTAGCAAGATCTCATTCCAGGATGCAATTCACCACCATCTCCTCCCATCAGGGTTCGTTTCTGTCTTTCTAATCTTTTTTTTTTATTTCAAAAAAATTCCTTGTGTAGAAGAGCTGGGGTATAGGCCAGAGGTGCAGGGGGTAAGAGGATTCACCAGAGACAGAGTGGGGAGCAGAACAGGCAGATCTACTGAAATACGCTGTTGAGGGGAGAAGCGAGGAGGCAGGAGAGGTCTGCTGTGCCATGTGGGTAGCTCCCTGCCCGGGGATCAAACTCAGACCTTCATGGTGATAGCACTGAGACTTAACCCCTAGGCCACCAGGGAGGCCCAACTTTTTTTTTTTAATCTACAACATGGATTCTTTTTTTAATAAAGATTTATTTATTTATTTATACATGCACTGGATACAGTCAGAAGCGCGGGAGGGTGAGAGAAGTCACCAGAGCCAGAGCAGGGAGCAGAGCAGGCAGAAGGACCGAAGGACACTGCTGAGGGGAGCAGCGGGCGGCAGGAGAGGTCTGCGCGCCATGCGGGACCCTCCTCCGGTGGTCGGGGAGCAGCCGGGGATCAAACTGGTGCTGCAGAAGCTGCGGGGAGACCCGAGGCCCAACTTTTATAATCTTGACTCTTTGTTGTTTCTTGGGTACAGAAGATGCTCAGATCAGGTGATTTTTCTGGACTGGTAGGAACTTGATTAAATTTGTTTCACACTTATTCTGGAATCTAAATCAACTTGGAATCTGGAAGGTTCAGTACGTTGATCTTTGGCATCACCTTCCAGCACATCATCTGGCATCACCTGGGCACGGCAACAGGCACAAGATTGCCACCATTTCCGGTCTGGCTTGTGTGGTCCTGTCGACCTCTGAAGCATTGAAACATTCTGTCTGCAGGGAAGTTGATTTCGGAGAGCAGTCTTGTCAGGATGTCTGTTATTGCTCACGTGGTGCTTACTGTCCATTTAGAAAGTTCTGGGCTGGTCCTCAGTTCTCTCGGCACAGAACACCCTGCATGCCTCCTTTTGAAGGCACCTCCTCTTCCAATTTTTTCATGTGAGAATTGATTTTTTAGGCACTAAATACATAGCATCTGTTCTGCCACAGATCATGTTCCCGCACGTAATAAGACCGTGCTGATAGGACTGAGGCTGCTGGCCTCTTCCTGTGCCCACATTTTATCGTCACAGATATTTTCCTTTGTCACTGTCTGGTGTCACCCTCAGATCTCTTTTGACTGGCTCATTCCAAAAGGGAGAGAGATTTCTCTAAGGCCTGAGCCAGTGAAATGAACAATTGTCTGACCAGGTGACGTCCCTGCTGGAAGTCTCCCGGGCAGGAGGCAGCTGGGGGTGATCCATTTTCCCACCTGCAAGAGTCTTGCATTTAATGCATCCACTGATAACCACAGTCAGTGACGTCCCACACCCCAAGGCTGTGAGCTCCTGACTTGCTGTAGACCCAGGTCACGCGTCTTCTAAAGACAAGTGGAACCTGGGAATGCTGATGTCCCCTCCACACCCATTTCTTGGTTCCAATGAGAGCATTGAAGTCCCGCAGGGATGCACCTTATATGGAGCAGTGTGGCTGTAGATTGGGCTAGTGCTAGAAGGCTCCATGGGATGCGTATCTCAGCCACATCAATGAAGAAGACAGTGACCTCAACTTGGCCTTGTAAGCAACAGGAAAAAGGAAACAAAATAGTCCTGAGAGACCCCACCTCCTTCTCCTGCACCATGGGCAAACCCCAAGTTGGTCAGAGGAGAGAGTGGAATTCTGATTTTCACACCCATTGGTCATAGTTTTTCAGGGCAACCAGTGGGACCAGCCACTGGGTAGTCCTGCCCCTGACTTTCTGGTTCTGTGTGGGAAGGTGTGTGCTCTGGGACAGGTGCTGGCCCAGCCGTTCTACTCAGGCTTGGTCCCCACTCTGCCCTGTGTGCCAGCCACCTCCTCCCTATTGGTGACCCTGCTCGTGGCGTTTTGGTTCAGCCTAAGTAACAACTTGTCCCAGGAAGCAGGTGACCAGGAAGGTGGCCAGTAGACTGCCCACCACATGCTCACCTGCCCCGCTCTGCCCCCTCCCCTCCCCCAGTGCAGATCACCCTGCCCCACTCCATGAGCATGACGGCTCCCGACGGCACCAACTACATCGCCGAGCAGATGCACTTCCACTGGGGTGGTGCATCCTTGGAGATCAGTGGCTCCGAGCACACCATTGACGGGATGAGATACGTGGCTGAGGTAACTTGGGAACCCCGAATAGGTCTAAAAAGAATGGGACAGTCAAGTCACACCCTGAGATTGACTTTATTTTCCAACCATTCACAGCTATTCATTGATCATGGGGGTTCAGGCAGGGTCCCTTCACCCACAGAACTCACAGATCATACAGATGGGCCCAAAATGCCAGAAGCAGGGTCACCAGCCCAGGAGTGGGGTGCATACATTTGTTGGGTTCATCTGGCTTTCTGTGTGTTTGATTTCTCTGGGTTCCTCCTCTTGCTTAGAGCTGACCTGAGGCTGAACTGAGGTTAATGGTGGTCTCCTGGGGCCAGGGGGCTCATGCCCACTCAACAGGGACCTCTGGAGAACCCACGGCCTCACGTGATCCCTCCAACTCTGTCTGGAGGGAGGTGGGGTCAGGAAAATGCCCAGAATCCCACTCATGCTCCTTCTAGTCTTGGTGGAGTGTCTGGTCTTGATAGATCTTGTACCCCGGATGGAGGGAAATGGAGGTCAGATATGACTGTGTGGGACAGTCTGAGGCCTTGCATGAGCATCTGACTTTTCCTCCTTCTCTGAGAACTTGCAGTGTTGGAGCTCTGTAAGAACTTCCCTTGATGTACCCTCTCTTGCCCCACAGATCCACGTCGTTCACTACAATGCTAAATATGGCAGCTTTGATAGAGCTCAGAGTGCCCCGGATGGCCTGGCTGTGCTGGCCTCACTCATTGAGGTAGGCCAAAAATACATGTTTGAAGTTCTAGATTGCTGTCCAAACAGGTATTATGGGTGGGTGTCAGGTCTTCCTTCCTGTTCCTCCTCGCTATTCCTGAGCTCACAATTCTTGGAAACCCTGACTGGATGAAAGATGGACCCTTTTTCCAGCCCTTGCTCACATTCACTGTGCTCCTTCTGTTCTCAACCTTGAAGACCTTGGGCAACATGGACAAGGTGACAGAAAGCACTGGGATCACAGAAGTGTCGACTGGGGTAAACTGGCCTGAGGGCAAGGGGCAGCTTGCCACCCACCCAGCAAGCAACACCTGTTTTTCTAGGAAAGTAGGAAGGTGGGACTTATCACTGCGTGGTGAGAAGCAGTCACTGACTCCAACCCTCTCCAGACAAGCATTAAGTTGGATAAAATTGTCAAAGACTACCAGATCAGAGCCCTGGAAATGGTCCGAAGGCACCACAAGGCATTGATTTGTGAAGAAAATAGATTTTTGGGTCAGAACAGTGAGAGTCTGGGCTCCTTGACTGGGGCTATTATACTCTCCATCCTCCAACTTAGAAGGTAGTTTTATCAGGACAGGAAAACCAGTAGCTTTACTGCCTGGGGGCGGGGGACTGACTTGATTTGGGGTGCAAATTGAAAACCCATGCCAGCAGGCTCTTGGAAATATAGCAAACAGCAAAACAGACAGAAAACACAGAGGGAAATCTCAGAGACCTGGTCGTTGAGGTTGCATGGCCAGCTGGGGCAAGGGGAAAGTGACACACAGCAACTCAGCAGGGAGATCTTGGCCACGGGAGAGCCACGGAAGGTCTGTGGAAGCAGCCTACAGAGGGGGGAAGTAAAAGGAGAGACAGACTCAAGAGCTGGCTCAACTCTGGGTGTGCTTCTCTGCGCTCACGCAGACCCATTGCAGAGGGTACAAATCCCATGTACTTGAGGGTATGAGAACCAGTTCTGCTAAAGTCACCGACTGATCACAAAGCTATGCTGATCCTTGGTGATGCTTGGAAATTTAGGGTAAAAAGAAAAAAAAAGATTTAAGACTTGAGGAGGGACATGGACCACTGCATGCCGCTGGGGGAATATACCCTGCAGATCAATACCAGGAGAGTTACCAAACAGACACACAAAATGAAACACCCTCAGGGCCATTTAAGAAACCAGAAGCCAGATTTGCTACTTCACATTATTTAAAATGTCCAGTTTTCAACAAAAAATTTGGGTATGCAAAGAAATAGGAAAATACGATGAATAGTTGGGGGTGTGGGAGAGCAGCTATAGAAACTGACTCTGAGTGGAGCTGGATTGTACTTTAGAACTAAGACATATGTGGTCAAAGGATTACCAGAAAGTATGTTCAAAGAATTAAAGGAAAATATGGTGACAATGACTTAAAAAAGAAATCTCACTTGAGAAACAGAAATTATAGGGCCTCCCCTGTGGCGCAGTGGTTGAGCGCTGGGTTGCGAAGCTGCCCGCAGCCTCTGCAGCGCCGGTTCGATCCCCAGGTGCTCCCCGGCCACTGGAGGAGGGTCCCACATGGTGCGCAGACCTCTCCTGCCGCCCGCTGCTCCCCTCAGCAGTGTACTTCGGTCCTTCTGCCTGCTCTGCTCCCTGCTCTGGCTCTGGTGACTTCTCTCACCCTCCCGCGCTTCTGACTGTACCCAGTGCATGTATAAACAAAATGAACAAACAAATAAATAAAATAAAATAAAATAAATGCCTCTATAAAAAAAAAACAAAAAACCAGAAATTATAAAAATGCATCATACGAAAAGTCTAGAGCTGAATTATAAACAAAATGAAAAATTCACTCAGGCTGAGCGGTGAGACCAAGCTCTCTCCCTCACGATGAGTCTGACTGTGGCTGACACTGCCCCTCAGGCACCTGAGGATATTTGAACAGTGACTTCCAGCCATTCCCTGAGGGCATTGCCAGTCACCAGGAAGGTCCTAGAAGCTGCCCAAATGCCTCAGATCTTGTTCCCCTGGAAGATATTAGTGGCTTCAGTGTTTGGTGGCAAAGAACGGCTAGATCTGGTGAGCTGTCTTGGTCCTTGTAGCTCTACCCAATCAAGCAGGACACTAAATAGCTGGATGAGCAGAGGCAATTCTGGGGGGGTTCTCCCCCTTTTAGGCTGACTTCTCTGTGTTTCTCCTACAGGCCCAGGAGTTTGTGGAAAACACCTATTACAGCAAGTTCCTTAAACACTTGAATAAGATTAGGTATCCAGGTAAGGGAGCCAACAGTGGTTTTATCCAAATATCTATTAAAGTCTATGCTTTCACTTCTTTGGGTTATATGCCCTGAAACGGAATTAATCATATGGTAATTAATTTTTGAGAAACCACCATATTGTTTTCTATATTAGCTTTGCCATGATCTGAATTCTTGACTCACTTAAATTTATACCAATGAAACTAAATCTATGCGAAAGAGTCCTTTAGAAAGTTGTATATTGCTTTCCAATAACAATAAAATTTATAAGTCTTTGGCCTACTAGTGGAATTATGCTCTACTAGACTTCAAGGCCTTGGTTAAATAAGCCTATTTGTATATATACAAGCTTATATATATATATATATACAAGCCTATTTGTATATATCAAAACTATATGCCCTTTGCCACAAAAATGTAGAGTGTTCGGGGAAAGTGAGGTAAAATTCAACTCAACTCCATGTTGCTTTGATGGTGTCATATTGAGCTTCGTGCTCAGGGTCACTGACATGAACAAAACAGGGGCTGTCTAGATGTACTGATGGGTGCTGTGCTGTGAGGCTCCAGAAGCCCCAGGGATGTCCCTCTCCCCACGCCCACCAGTGGCTAAGCGTGGTTCCTGATGGGCATGGCGGGAAGAGCTCAGGACTGGATGCCCATACCTGGACATGTGCTTGGTCCTGATTCTGCCTTTTTAGACTCTGACTACCCACATCTAACTGAGCCCAAATCAAGGGATTTTTGATTTTTTTGAGGGCACTTACCCAGAACCCCTATGATTCCTAATTAATTTCATTTATCGTAAATGAAATTATGCTGTGCATGGTGATGATGATGGTGATGATACACCCAGGAGCACTTTCTTATTTGCTGACTCAACACCTGCACTTTATAAACATATTACCTCTCCCCTCAGAAAGCTGATTTTCTCCTCTTTACAGAGGAGGAAGCAGACTTAGAGGAGAGAGCACCCAGCCAAGTCTACTCAGTAAGGAGGATGTAGGCTGAGTTTCTCTCTCCAAGTCTTTGCTCTTGACCTTTTCTGGGAAACAGGAAAGTAGGGAAATGTTTCCCAGTGATCAGCTTTTATGCTATTCTGATTAAATCAGGAGATTCCAACCTGGAGAGGCCTAAGCCTGAGCTGTTCTTCAAGTGGGCAGCAGTTGTCCTGAACGTTCCTTTATGTTTTGTCCCCTCGGCTAGGACAAAACACAGTTCTAGAAGGCCTTGACATTATTGACATGCTGCCTGAGAACACGCAACACTACTACAGGTACCAAGGATCGCTCACCACTCCTCCCTGCACTGAGAATGTCCAGTGGTTTGTGCTGGCAGATCGTGTCAAGCTCTCCGCAGCACAGGTAAGACGTGGCATAGCTTCACCCAAATCTCTCTGTCTGCCAAAGGGGAGGGTGGGAGCCAAGTGGGGAGGGGCCCAGTAGACTATGGTGGAGGATTATTGGTGCTTTGGTGATGAGCGAGGTATGAAAACATACATTTGTGGAGGTATGAACTTATACTCCTAAAACATATAGTGTTGTAAATGGTAACTGCAACAAACATAATTTAAAAAAGTCACTAGAGAACAATTAAATAAAAGGATGGAGGGGCCTCCCTGGTGGCTCAAGGGGTTAAGACGCAATCTATGAAGCTATCTGCAGCCACTGTAGCAAGGGTTTGATCCCCGGCCAAGGAGGTGACCCACATGGCACAGCAGACCACTCCTGACTCGCCCGCTGCTCCCCTCAGCAGTGTATTTCAGTCAATCTGCTTGTTCTATTCCCCACTCTGTGAACAGAATTCTTTTGCCCCTACACCTCTGGCCTGTACCCCAGTTTTTGTATGCATAAATAAATCTTAAAAAAATTTTAAAAAAAGGATGGATAGCTTCATATTTAGTTTTTTACCATGCTAAAATGCATATTAAAGAAAGCAGCTGTATTAGTCATCCCTGTTCCCCTGCATAGAATGGGTGCATAATGTTGAATTGAATAAAGGGTGAGTGTTACTGAGGCTGCAAAGAACAGCTGATCTTTCTTAGTGATGCTCTGTCTAAGGAGCCAATGCTTCTTAAATTCTTCATTTCCTTACTTTAGGAAAAGATGGGAAGACCCTTAATCAAAGATGCCCACACATAAAAATGTTGCCCCCGATGCCAAGAAAAGCAAATGTAAATCATCTCTAGAAAAATGGACCTTAGACCCAAAGTTAGAATGTCCATAAATAAATTTACCTGAAACAAGTGCAATTAAGAAAGATCACAAAATACAGAAGGAAGACACAATGAGAGTCTTCCCTGGCTGGGGATCGAAATCAGGCTGCGGGGGTGATGGTGCTGAGACTTAAGCTCTAGGCCAGCAGGGTGGCCCTAATTGATGGACTGATAGGACAATTAATATAAAATAAGAATGTTTAATATGTATTAGGGAATAAGAGTTTTAAATATTAGGAAAGTACAAAAAAGTATAAAAATGACAAAGTAGGCTTAGAAAAAATAAACAAGCAGAATTCTAGAAATGGAAACATAGTAACTAAAATGGACAATGTGATGAGTGTGTTCAATAGCATGTTAGATACAGTTCAAGAAAGAATTAGAAAATTGGAAAATAGAGCTCAGAAAGTTATCCAGGCAACAGCACAGAGAAAGAAATATGAAAAATAAGTAAAGAGACAGAGAATATAGTGGAAAGGTTTGACAGGTGTCTTAGTTGAACGAGAAGAGAGGCAGGAGAGAGAAGAGGCAGGTTTGATGAAATATTGATAGGCTATTTTCCAGAAGAGTTGAAAGACACCAAGTCAGAGAGTCAGGAAACCCAGTGAGCCAATGTGAATAAAAAGAAATCCACATTAAGCACATCACCTTGAAGTTACAAAACATTCAAGACAAGGAGAAGACTAAATCTTTGTAAAAATCAGCTAGAGAGAAAAGGAGAACTAGTAGAACAAAAGTTGATTCAGCAGTGACCAAGACAGTCAGAAAGCAGTGGGAAATTATTTTCGAAGCACCAAGAGCAAGAAATATCCAACCTAGAATTGAATTTGTAGCAAACATATCTTTGAAGGCAATAGACAGAAGATACACATTTTCATAAAAACAAAAATTGAGTCTTCCAATTGATAGTCTCTGATTTCTTCTTTCTCTCCTCCTACTATTGAGCAAATATTCACAGCGAAAGACTGAAAGAGATTGACTTAAGAAATTAGGAAATTAGGAAATTGGAAGAATGAGTGAATATTCTGCCTGACACATGGCACCCAAGCTCCTCTGGGTTGGAGGTGTCTTGCCTTTGTTTTATTGGGGTTCTACAAATCCAAGCTCTAGTTCGACTGCAAATTTATTTATTTTGTAAATATTCATTTAGTAGAAGAACTGGGGTGTAGGCCAGGGTTATGGGGGTAAGAGAGGATTCACCAGAGACAGAGTGGGGAGCAGAACGGGCGGATCGACTGAAATCCACTGTTGAGGGGAGCAGCGGGGAGACAGGAGAGGTCTGCTGCGCCATGTGGTCAGCTCCCTGGCTGGGGATCGAAATCAGGCTGCAGCGGTGATGGTGCTGAGACTTAAGCCCTAGGCCAGCAGGGTGGCCCTAATTTCTGAAGTCACCTAGTGCCTCTTCCCCTCCATGTCACTTCCTGTTGCCCACAGATATTGAAGATGGAGAACACCTTACTGAATCATCAAAATGAGACCCTCCACAATGATTACCGCAACACCCAGCCCATAAATAACAGAGTGGTGGAATCCAACTTCATGGATCAGTATCAGGCCGATCCGAGTGAGTGAGATCAACTCTTATTTTTTTGCAATTTGCTGACTCTTGTTTTCTTCCTCCTCTGGATGGGCTCATCTCTTCTGGCAAGAGTAAGGGAAGGGAGGGCCTCCCCGGTGGCGCAGCGGTTGAGCGCTGGGTTGCGAAGCTGCGCGCGGCCTCTGCGGCGCCGGTTCGATCCCCGGCTGCTCCCCGGCCACCAGAGGAGGGTCCCACATGGCGCGCAGACCTCTCCTGCCGCCCGCTGCTCCCCTCAGCAGTGTACTTCGGTCCTTCTGCCTGCTCTGCTCCCCGCTCTGGCTCTGGTGAATTCTCTCGCCCTCCCGCGCTTCTGACTGTACCCAGTGCTTGTATAAACAAAACAAACCAGCAAACAAATAAATAAAGCATGCCTCTATAAAAAAAAAAAAAAAAAAAAAAAAAAAAAAGAGTAAGGGAAGGGAGGGTGGCTGGAGGCTCGGGTGGCCTGGCCTGTGCAGGGCTTGGGCAAGAGGACAGGGCTCATTTTCCCAGTCGAGGGCGCGGGTCAGGGCGACAGTGAGGGTAGGCCACGGGTCATGGCCAGAGACAGCAGGACAAGTGCGATGGAGCAACATCCAGATGATCTCACAGCACACAGGCTCAAGGTAACGTTATTAAACCCAACACATAATTTTCCAATTATCTTGGTCTGTGTACGAACCCCAGTCCCAGCTCCCCCTGCAATTCTCTCAAGGTGGGATTGACTTGGGGGTCATTCTCAGACCCCAGGACCTGGAAGTATGTCCAACTCAGCCTCCACTGGACCCTCTAACCTTCTAGGTCAGGCTCCAGCTGCCTTGCTGGCTTACCTCCTCATTTCCTATGATTGCAAGAATGTAAATATTCTGCAATTCTCCCATCTTTATTTTGCTTGTTTCTTAGCAAAGTGTGGTGAGTTAGACACACTTCCTGAATTCACTGTCTTTATTTTTATCTACTTCTTTTAACCATTTCTGATACGTTTACATCCTCCAATACAATAGAATTCATCTTTAATCAATATTACCTGATCTTGATTCCTGTTCAACACTGAAATTTCCATACTTATCACCTCCTCACCCCCCAATACAGGTCCTTTCGTGGGTTTCCCCCATTTTCCCTTCCTGGTTCATTCATTGTTTTCCTTGCATCAATTTGCTTCACTAATACAATATGAGCAAGAGTGAAAAAATGACACCAGCCGTAACTAGGATTTCTCCAGATTGCAGTCTAAAGGACATGAATTCCTTTCCCCAAGGGCGGCGCCCCCTGACAGTCCAGATGTTAGCAGGCTGCAACGGGAGCTCTGACCCTGATCTGGTGCTCTGGTCATTCTGCCCGACTCCTGTTTTCCTGTGATAACTTACACTCTTGGCTAAGGGGCGCCCACGGTGTAGCTTCCACACACCACATCTCACATGCTCTTCCCACCCGAGCCTTTCCAATTTGCCCTCGCAAGGAACTCAGGTGTCCCAGATGCCGCTTCTTAGACCAGACTGCTCTGTACTGCCGTTTGCCTGCGTGTCTGCTGGGGCCCGTCCTTCGGAGGCTTGCTGCTCCTGCAGGATGGCTTCCTCCGCATCCCGCAGACTGTAAGAAGACTTCTGTAAGGGGCAGGAATGGCCACTGAGCAGGTTTTCTGATCCAGCAGACCGGGTAAAGGAGGAGTCAGAGACCTCAGTGGTTTTGCAGGCTTTTATTGGATTACCAGGTACATGGCAGGCAGGGGTGCTAGGGGGCCGGGATGCTGGCAGGCCTCCCAACCCCCAGCAAATCCGCACTCTCTCTGGGCTCACTGGCGTTCTCTGCTTCTGCTTCTTTGCTTCTCTCTTGGCTTCTCTTCGGCTTCTGCTGGCGTCCCCGTGACGCCGCCCTTAAAAGCCCAGTCTCAGCCCAGGTGAATCCCATCTACCTAGGCCCACACCCTGCTCCAGGTGCCGCCATCAGGCATGCATTCAGGACCTCAAGGATCCATCATCTCTCCTGATGGTGGGAGGGCAGAAAAGCCTGACATTTTTATTACCCTACAACTTCCCACCTTCAACAAGGGAGTGCTGAATGGCGCTTCCCTTTGCCGATAATTCAGAGAACCGGGCATGGCTGAGCTCCAGCGAGACCGCAGGCCCAGGCGTGTGTCTGGCCGTGCCTCTCTCCAGCCACTCCCCGTTGCCCCCACACCCACCGTCTCCGGTGACATGTCACAGTTCTAATCAATTCCACCCCATGTGAGTTAACGAGATCAACCTGCCTTGAGGAACATCTGAGGAGACAAGGCTCATTATAAACGCTTAAACCTAAATTCCTACGCAATGAAGATGCTTGAGGTTAATGGGATGGGAACACAGAGGCCGCTCTTGGGACTCAAAACTATGTCCCTTAAGCACACGTGTGGGGGATGGGGGAGGCCGCCTCACCCTCTGTTCTCATGGGTCCTTCAGTGTTTTCTCCTTTCCTGTGAACTTGTCTTTTTCTATTCCAGGGCTTCAGATAGAGGCTAAACTAAAGAAACTGGTGGATGAGACCCAGTATGACATTCTTAAAAACACTAAAGCAAAGAAAAAAAAGCATGGATGGGTAATAGCCTGAAGCAGAGCTGTGGGGGCGAGGCACCCTCGGGCCGCCCCCTGCGAGTCCCTGGATCACACGCATCCTGAAGGCGCACCTGTGGAATTTTCTGATTAAAATAGGGAAAGCTATTTTCTGTGAAAGGAATGTGTGGTTTGGATGTAGGAGGTGGACGGGGGGCGTCCAACACGAGTGGAAATGACTGGAATCGACATTTAAAGGAAATGGAACCCCACGGTCGTCCCCCTCAAATCAAGCATGTCAATCTAAATGCTAACCCATCCAGATCTTGCCTTTAGTATGTAGATGGAATAAAATAACTGGAAATGTCATTGAAAATGTCCTCTGTTCTCTTGTGTGACTTCAAATCACCCTCCTTGGCACTGCCCAAGGCAAGGGCCGGGCATGGCGAGTGGGCGGGAGGGCTGGGGCCAGGCGAGCTCCAGAGGCTCCAGCAATGGCGGGGCTTCCAGACCCAGGATCAAGGAGAAGGGGCCTCTCTTTCACGTGCTTCTCGGGTGGGGAGCAGGCCCTGTGCTGTGGATACAGGAAAGACGAGGCCTGGGAGTGGGCTGCGAGGCGGCACAGAGCCCCTGAGGCAGTCCTTGCGGGTCCAGCGAGCCTGCGCCCGCAGTCACGAGGCCGGGGTTCCAGCACTGGTTCTGAGACTTGCCTGCCTTGTGGGGTACGAGATGACCCTCTCTTAGGGCTGCGTGGTGAGGAGCTGGGAGGACCGGCGGGCCAGGGGAGCTTCACAGACCCACCTCGCGTTTTTGCCCCGTCCTCCCATCCTCCCTGGCCCCACCGTCCTCCTGGTCTCTGCGCTCACCCGCCCCCTCCTTCCCTGCTGCGTTTGTCGGTGTTTGTTCCTTGAGGCCCAAGTGTTTTCACCCGTGACCTCCCTGCGGGGTGACCTCAGGCAGCCCCCGAGCGGGCTCATTATCGTCCTCAGTTTTCAGAGAAAGAACCAAGCGGCGGAAAGGCCAGTGCCCAGCCCAGTTTCTCTTAACTGCAGAGTCTTTGTCTTCATTTATCCCACCCCTCTGTGCCCAGGTGTGGGGCTGAGTACTGGGGTTGAGGACGCCCCGGTCCTCGGATCCCAAGCATAGAGATAGGACAGAAATTTAAGTAACCGATCGGAGGCGCCCCTTGGCGTGACGGCTCTGCAGAGCGGCCGGTGCTTGGTGTGGGTTTGGGGGTGCACAGGAACCCCTGGTGAGCCAGGCAGGGAGGGCACTGGAGGCCTGGGGACAGGCCCTGACTTATGGGGAATCACAGAAGGCAGAGCAGGTGCTGCACCGGGCACCAGGGTCCGGGTGGCGCGGGCAGGCCCACCTGCCTGCCCCATGAGGGCCAGGCTGGGCATCTCCGGAGCAGAAGCTGCACAAGGGCCCTTCCTCGGGCTCTGGCGCTTCAGGGCATCCGTGTTTCCCTGTGGTTTTATGTGGCGCTTAAACAGAGATGCTGAGAAATAAACTACCCCTCAGAAACAGCCCGTTGTCTGTTCCCCGTGTTCCCGGGGATGTTCCTTTCCCCAGAGAGCTTCTGAAAGGTCTCCTGTGCTGGTGCCATTTTGTGAGAAGCTGCAGCAAAGGCGCTCCTGGCCAGGAAGCTGCCCTCCGCCGGACGCTGCAGGGATGGCGGGTCCGCGCTCAGCGATGCAGGGCGGTGACAGGACGCAGGGACAGCGGGGGCCTGACCGCTGCCTTCCCACACAGCGAGATGCGGAGCTCTGCCTTGGTCCTGGCTCCTCTTGCCTCATGGCCTGCTTTTGGAATCTCAAAGCCCGTCAGGCCTCTTGGAGGGCCGGTTGGCGCTGCCTGTCAGCGGGCGGTCAGCCAGCAAGCGCCCCCCTAGCGCCAGAGGATGGTTCTCAGATGGGGCCCCTGTGGCCCGGTCAGAGCCCATCCCACAATCTGGGGGAGGGGCTCAGCCACAGCGTGCACAAAGCTAAATCTAGCCCCCCCAAACTCATAAAGGATCTGGGATCCCCAGAAGACGTATGTCACGTCTCCCTCTCCCGAAGGTCTCTCCTAGATGTCTCTTCATTCTCCAGTGTCCTCCACTTCCACTGACCCCCAACCCTGGGTCAGGGCACCGTCATCCCCTTCCCAGACACTAAGGCAGCCACCTGCTGGGTCTCCTTGCACCCCACAGGCCGGTCGCTTTTAGGGATACAAGTGCCGCTCCCTACACTTGGGTGATTTGCGCCCATTTTCTGTGCTACTAAGCAATTTTTTTAAAAAGGGAAACCCGACAGTCACGGATGAAATTTGAGCGAGGGGTCTGGGCAGGCTGACAGAGGAGACCCCCTGGGGTTCCCAGCTCGCCCCAGGACGCACAGGGGCTCTGCTCCATGGCCCTCAGCAGGCCCGGGAGTGTGTGTGGGGTTCACACTTCCAGCAAGTTCCAGATCGTGAGGCGGACGGGACACCTGGGCCGCTGGGGGCTCCTTGCTGTGCTTCTGGAAGCACCGGGTGGGGGTCTTGGTTACTCGCTCTAATCCGCTTTGCTCTTTAAGGAATTATTTTATCCAAGACTTTTCAGAGACAGAAAATCCAGATCAAATAGGTTTTAGCAACAAAGGAAAACAATTGGTCACCTACCTGAACTTCAGGTACCTTCAGGGACGCCTGGCTTCAAGTTCAGGGGACCCCCGTCTCATACCTTGGGGTGGTTCTGCTCCCCTCTCCACAGGTCTGCTCATTCCCGGCAGCTCCAGGCCCTCTCCTCTCTGCTCAGCAGCCGAGGCGGGAGCTGGGGCACAGGCCGCTGTGCACAGTGAGGCCCCGGGCAAGAATACCTGGGGGGACGGGCGAGTAGGAGAGGATCCACCAGGTGAGGGGGAAGGAAGGCCCCTGCGCTTGTCCTGGATGGAGGCGGAGGAGTGAGGAGCTCCGCCCCAGCCCCTCGGGCTCCAGCTGCCCCTCGTTAGGGTTCATTTTCACATTCCCTGCAAATTAAAAGAACCCAAACCAACAGCAAAAGAAGAAAAAAGGAGAAACTAACCCCCAAACCCTATGCCACCTCCTGGCACCAGGTATTGCAATGTGGTGGGAATATTAGAGGATCTTGTTAAAAACTTTTTCTTTGCCGTCCACAGCTCAAAGGACTTGACCCCTTGGAGCTCCCGCCAGGTGACCGGGTGATGGCCAAGATGTTACTGACAAGGGCCCTTCTTTGCTTCGAGGGGGCACCCAGGGCCAGTGCAGGCTCTTGCGCCGCTGGCCTCTGTGGCATCACCTGCGGCCTTGCATGCAGGAGGTGCTTGGGGGCGCGGGCGTGGGGCACACGTGCGTGATGGAGACACCTGGAGTGTGGCGTGGGCATGCGTAGGTGGGCACACCTGAGCCTGGAGACGGAGCAAATAAGTGGGGCGAGGATGGAGCGCTGGAGAGACCCCGGGAGAACGGCAGAGGGAGTCCAGGGACAGTGAAGATTTGCCGGGAAGATTCCTGGCCCCTCGGTGCCCCCGCCCGCTGCCTGCGCTGCCCCTGGTTGCCGCACTGCAAAGGGTGTGGGAGGGTCATTAAAAGCCTGAAAACACCACTGAGGGCCCCGGGACTCTCCTGTGTCCGCTCTGCCCCGTGCCTGCCTGCACCGCAGTCGACTCTGGGAGCAGCGGCTGCTCCGGGACAGCGTCTGCCCGCGGGGAGACGGCACAGTGCCTGACGGCGGGATGTCAAGACTGAGCCCACCTCGCGAGGGGCCTCGGAGGTGCCTGAGGACAGGACAATGGCCGGGATGAGAGGACAGCGAGGACAGAGGGCCACTGGGCTCGGGGGCGGGGGTGGGGGGCTGTGCAGGAGGACGCTTCACCTGCCACAGCGTCTGCCAAGGGCGAGCTGCTCGGCTGAACACGGGTGACTTCACGTCCACGGGGGCCGAGCAGTGACAAGTGGGCCTCGTTTGGGTTCTCGGAAGCAGCCCGAGTCAAGGGTTGCGGGGAAAATAGTTCATTCGGAGGAAAATATAGCCCAGGGGCCTCCCTGGTGGCCCAAGGGGTCAGGACACATGACTATGAAGTTCTCACCAGCCACTGCAGCACGAGTTCCATCCCTGGCCAGGGAGCTACCCACATGGTGCCGCAGACCTCGCCTGTCTCCCTGCTGCTCCCCTCAGTGTATCTGCCTGTTCTGCTCCCCACTCTGTCTCTGGTGAATCCTCTCACCCCCCGCACCTCTGGCCTGTACCCCAGTTCTTATATACATAAATAAGTGGATCGTTAAAAGAAAAAAAAAATAGACCAGAGCTGTAGCCCCAAAAGTGAGTCAAGGAAATGGGTTGAACTCATCCAGAGTGACCTGCAGCCTCCACCTGGGGTGGGGGTGGGGGGCGGGTCTCTGTCTCAGGGAGCTTCAGACAAAGCTTCCTGACAAGAGCAGAAGGGCAGACCCCGCGGGCACATGAACCCCCAGCAGTTCTTCCAGGTAGCTGGGCGCTTATTAGGTCACTGTTCAGATAGGAAAGTGAGAGAAGCCAACACAGTGGGAACCAGACAGGGCCCGTGCTCAGCCTTATTACCAGACAGTGCGTGTTCTTGCCGCGCGCACCGGCTGATGAGGCCGCACAGGGAGGCAGCAGCTGCTCCAGCTGAGGGTCCCCGACCGCGAATCAAACCCAATCAACGTGACCCAGCATCTCTATACACCGCAGAATGACCACAAGTCTAGTTCCAGTCTTCACTGTTTTACTTCATCATTACTTTACATCACATTTTTAACTTTCAGGATTTATTTCCTTGGCAACTTCCAAGAATGCTCTACAAAATCATAGACTGTAGTTACCACACTATACATAACCTCTCCAGTTGTTTGTCTTATAACCAGAAGTGTGTACTTACCTTTCTACCTTTGTCCATCTAGATACGAGCCTTTTTAGTGATAAAATTTGCAAATGTTTTGACCAGTCTGTCTTGTCTTTCCACCCTCATAGCAGTGTCTACAAAGAGCAGAAGGCCTTCATTTTGTCAAAGTCCATCCAATTTATTGATATCTTCTTCTGTGGATGGGTTTTGGTGGTGTTTTTGGGAAACCCACGCTCACAGATACTTATCTCCTCTGTTGTATTCTGGAAGTGCATTTCTTTACTCAAGTATAGTTTGGGTTTTAATTTAGGCCTATGATCCATTTTGAGTTAAATTTTACAGATGATGTGAAGTATGGATAAAATTTTCATTTTTTAAAAAGATTTATTTATTTTTGCATACAAGAACTGTGGTGTAGGCCGGAGGTGCGGGGGGTGAGAGGGTCCACCAGAGACAGAGTGGGGAACAGAACAGGCAGACTTACTGAAATCTGCTGCTGAGAGAGCAGCGGGGAGACAGGAGAGGTCTGCTGCGCCATGTGGGTTGCTCCCTGGCCAGGGATCAAACTCGTGCGGCAGTGGCTGCGGACAGCTTCATAGTGCTGAGACTTAACCCCTTGTGCCACCAGGGAGGCCCAAATATCATTTTTTTTTTTGCATATGGATATAATTGCCCCAGCACCTTTGTTGGAATTACTCTCCTGTCACCATTCAATGTTTCTGTAAAAAATCAGTTTCACATAGGTATGGGCCTATTTCTGTACTCTTTATTGTGCTCCGTTGATAAATTTGCCATCTTTGCAGTAATACCATACTGTTTTTATTTATGAAATGTTATAATGTCTTGACATCAGATAATATGAACTCCAAGTTCATCTTTCTGGAAGTTGTTTTGTTACCTCAGATTGTTTGCTTGTCTGCATATAGAAAGTTTGTCAATTTTTGTCCCAACAAAATCCTACTGGGATTTTGATTGGAATGATGTTGAACACAACAATGAATTTGGGGGTGGGGCTGAAGCCAACCTTCAGTTCCTAAAATAAACCCTACTTGGTCAGGTTATATTATCATCGTTATAACTTATTGGATTCTATTTGGTTAGTAACTTTTGTGTCTGTGTTCCTGAGGGATATTGGTCTGTGGTTTCTTATTGTGTCTCTTTAATTTGGTTTTGCTATCAGAGTAATGGAGACTTTATAGAATGATACAAGAAATATTCCTTCCTCTTCAACTTTTCTGGAAGAGTTTGTGTCAGACTGGCATTTTTTCTTCCTTAACTATTTGGTAGAATTCACCAGTGAGTCCATATGGACCTGGAGTTACTTTGTGGAAAGGTTTTTAACTGCAAATTCATTTTTAAAAAATTTTTATTTTTTTAAAAACAATATTTGCTTCCCACCACCCCCTCAGGTAGAGTCCCCATAGAATTTCCTTCCCCAAGGCACCCGTGCCCCATCACCACAGTCTCCTGTTGATGTAGGACTATCCAGGTTATCTGCCTTTTATGGAGCGAGCTTCTATTACTTTGTGCCTTTTGAGGCATTTGCCCATTTCATCCAAGTTGTCAAATTTATTGGCATAAAATTGTTCATAACATCCCCTTTTTATCACCTTCTGTATTGGGGAGAAAAAAGTCAGTTTTTTTGACACCCACATTCTACTTCCACTCACAGCAACCACAGATGCACCAGCCCACCTTCTACTTGACTGCAGAAAATGCAAATGTGTTTGGACATCCTGGCCTCACTATGCTGACATTGTGGTGAGGAGCTCCTGCTTTGTTTTCCTCCTGAACCACTAACTGGGTCCGACTCTGAGACCTGGCGTCCCCTGCAGGACGGGCCCATCCACAGCTCATGGGAAATGTTACAGAAGTCCTCTAGACAGGCAGTGTGCTCCCAAGGAAGGAATCATTATCCTGGGGAGGAAGAACTGTGCTCACTTCTGAAATTCCTGAGACCTGGGCTGGGTGAGCCATGTGATTGGCTGTGACCACCCTGATCCCCCAGGAGTCAGGACACCCCATAGGTGACAGAGCCAGGTAAAGGCCTTAGCAGGGAGGGTACAAGGTCAGGCTAGAAGGTAACTGTTGCAAGGTGACAGTGCTCCCCTTGCTTCCCAGGGGGCTGTGAAGGGGCCGCCCAGGGAGGTTTCTCTGAACATTCCAAGAGCGTGTCTTACCTCTCTTGCCTAACTGCCCCTGCGCACCATAGCACCGAGCAGAGGCGCTGACCAGGGCTAACTGCAGTCACAGCTGCGGAGAGAAGGAGGATCCGCCTGGCAGGAAGGCGCGAGGCCCAGAGCCTCAGCCTCTAGTTCCTTTGAGTCTCTAATCCGCACCTGATTGGTGTTCGGGCCTTTGTATCAACTGCTGAACTTGAAAGGTTTTACTTTAAAAAACTGTGTCCAGGGCCTCCCTGGTGGTGCAAGGGGTTAAGACGCAACCGATGAAGCTACCCACAGCCACTGCACAAGTTCCATCCCCGGCCAGGGAGCTACCCACATGGCGCAGCAGACCTCTCCTGTCTCCCCGCTGCTCCCCTCAGCAGTGTATTTCAGTCAGTCTGACTGTTCTGCTCCCCACTCTGTCTCTGGTGAATCCTCTCAGCCCCCCACACCTCTGGCCTGTACCCCAGTTCTTGTATGCATAAATAAATCTTTAAAAAAAAGCCACCGTTTGTCCAGACAAAGGCCCTTTTAAAAACAAAAACAAAAACAAACAAACAAAAAAAACTGTGTCTAAACACCATGCAGGTGTGGGGAGCAGAGACCAGAATCCCCACCCACACCTTGTGGGTCCTCCAGCGCAGGGCCGGAGCTCGCCACTTCTCAACCCAACCACATGCCCTAAAGGGGCCACATGCCCTAAAGCCGTCCAGCTGCCACCAGGGGGCACAGCAGTCACCTCCCTCCGGTCTGGGGCAGGGAGTCCTCAGGGGCAGAAACCTTGAATGTGGGGAGGGGTGGGGGCACGCGGGGCTCTAAAAGGAAGTGTCCTTGCTGGGCACAGCCGGTGTGGGAGGCGCGACATCTGTGATCTCTCCTCTCTCCGCAGGTATCTCCACCCCGTTTCTCTTGGCAAAAATTCGGTTTATCTCCACAAATGTCTGGCCCTTGGTCTCAGGAATAACCACGTAGATGTAAACAGCAGTGAGGAGGCAGATTCCAGCAAAGATGATGAAACTGTAGGCCCCAATCGCTTCCTGGGCACGAGACAAGAACGGAGGGGTGGGGGAGAGATGGCGGCAGCAGATCCGGGCGGGGCCCGCTGAGTCACGAGAAGCTTCTTGACGGCCAGTTTTATTTTTATTTCACCCCCAGAGGAGTGAAGTAACGAGAAACTTGCCTCCTCCAACTTGTCCAAAAGGACCCCTTAGCCTTTAACACCAGGGCTGTCTGGGGGTGGTGTGCCCCAGGTGAGAGGCGTGGAGAGGCAGAGCGGACGTGTGCGCCTCCAGAAACAGGGACAGGGAAGCAGGGTATGGGGGTTCGCCCCTCGCCTGGTGCCAGCGGGCTCTGCTGCCCTTGGCCTGGCCGACCAGAGCCGCTTCTAGGAGCCCTTGGCCAGCTGCGCGTCTGCGACACAGGAGCCGCCCGGTGTCGCATGAGTAGAGGCTCCAGGAGGAGGGGTGCCTAGTTCCTGGAACCCCTTCTATCTTGGGGAGAGCAGGGTGGGGCCCTCGCTCACCTGGATGGAAGGGAACACGAAGCCCACGACGAAGTTGGTGAGCCAGTGCACAGCCCCGTCCACCATGAAGGCGGCGGGCCTGGAGGACTGCAGGAAGATCTCTGTCCTCACCACGGAGGGCACGGGGCCTGGGGCAGAGAGCACAGCACGCGTGGAGCGGAGGGGGGCTCCGGGGACCCTGCAGGGCCAGGGGTGCATATACACAGACTGCCCCAGCCCCAAACCTAGAGCCCTAGAGCATGGTATGTTCCAGACAGCTGGAGAGGACTGCTCCCTTCAGGGGCCTGGAGGTCGCACAGGGGTCTTCCAGGTCACACCGGGGCCTCAGCGTCCGGGCAGGAAGCCGAGCCAGCTGGTTTGGTCTGGACAGCAACCGCTGGGACTGGCAACCCAGGATTCACAGGCCCCCCACAAAATTAGGGCAGAAGCTGAGAGGGTCCACTTAGCAAAGTCTGGTGGGGAGACCCGAATCACTCAGTGTGTCCGAGTCAGCGGTGCTCAGTCAAGGGTTGGGGAAATGAAACGGGGGTTTCTAGGGAGCAGCGGGTGTTGCGTCCCAGGCCTTCCCTGGGCGCCGGGGCTTCTCAGCAAGGCCTGTGGGAGCGGGAGACCCTGAGGGCGCGCTCACTGGGCGCCTGGGCTTGGGAGGTGCTGCCCCCGTGTGGTGGGCCTGGGGAATGACAGGAGCCCCGAGTCTGAGCCTTTTTTTTTAGGATCCTTTTTCCTAAGGAGACTTCCCCCCTAAACTCTCCACACCTTGTGAAGTATTAAGGTCACAGATATACCTGTGTGCTGTGGACCTATCTCTACCTTTGCAATAAAAAAGAATAAGATTCTGCCCCTTCGCTCAACCACTCCTGACCCAGGAGGGTGATCCGGCCGCCTTGCAAGGCCTGGTGTCAGTGGCTAGAGATGGAAAGAAATTCAAACCCCAGGAAGAGCTGCCCTGGGGATGTCAAATGTGAAACAACCCAGTGGGGAGGGGGCCCACTTTGGGGTTCTGTGTGCCAAAGGGCCCTGCGGGAGGGAGTTCTCTACCCCCTCCCCCTGCTCTCCAGGGGACAGAGGCTGCCACACTGGTCATGGCTTGGTACTTCGTAAATGTTTGTTGAGTGAATACATGTGAGCTGGAACCGTCAAGGAAAAGCTGGGCCAAGTGTTCAGTGCGGGTGGGGTTTGCATAGGAACGGAGGAAAGGCAGAGGGCACATCATGAACTTCATGGGTCAAGGACATCCATTCACTCAACAAAGATTTTCTGAGCACCTGCTATGTGCGGGACCCGGGAGGTTGGTAGGGGATGTGCTGCTACTCACTGGGCCCGATGGAATGTCCCGCGATGTAGGAGAAGACACAGATGATGCCCAGGTAAGACAGCTTAGGGACCTGGTTCTGGGGGGAGAGGCAGGGCTGTCTGTGGCTGCGGGGCCTGGCCTGGGCCTGTGAGTGCTTGAAGCCAAGGGCCCTTTGCAGATGAGCCCACCTGTGGGTCCCACCTTCCTGCTGCAGGAAGGAGCCACACTGGATTTCAGAGCACCTTTGTGGGTTCAAGGGCGCTGCAGGTGAGAAAGGGAGGAAGATGAGGACTGACACCTGAAATTGTGCTGCAGCGGGCTTCCACCAGCCTTACCTGAGGGAGAGCGATGGGTGGGAGGGACACCTACCGTCTACTTATTCTCTGCGTTTATTCTCACCAGAGGATTAACCCCAAGTCTTCGCAACACCCGCTGAGTGAGGGTAGTGGTGTTTCAAGAAGCCTGAGCACAGACCTTGAGGACAGCCCCTCAGGATCAAGCAGTGCCCAGACTCAGACCCTGCAGGGCAGGGCTGGGACCCACGCTCGGCTCCAGCTGAGAGGATCCTGCTGGGACCAGGGCTGCTGGCAGCCCACCCTCTCTGCCCCGCACTGCCAGGGCAACATGCCTCCAAACAGGGTGAACTTTCAGCCAGACTGAATGGGGTGCCCGGAGCTGATTCTGTAGGTAACGATCTCACGACAATTAAGAAAACTGCTATGGGGCCTCCCTGGTGGTGCAAGGGGTTAAGCACCACACTATGAAGCAGTCCGCAGCCTTTGCAGCACAAGTTCCATCCCAGGCCGGCCAGGGAGCAACCCACATGGCACAGCAGACCTCTCCTGTCTCGCCCGCTGCTCCCCTCAGCAGTGTGTTTCCGCCAGTCTGCCTGTTCTGCTCCCCACTCTGTCTCTGGTGAATCCTCTCACCCCCCACATCTCTGGCCTGTACCCCAGCTCTTGTATGCATAAATAAATCAATCTTAAAAAAAAAAAAGAAAACTGCTATGAAGGGGGCGGCGGCACAGGGCTGGGCCAGGGGACTGCTGCTCCCATCATGACGCTGTCTCCAAGCTGGAGAAGGAGGGCAGGGAGGCTGGATGGCAGGGGGATGAGAGGCCAGCGGAGGCTCATGGGCAGAGGAGTGACAAGCTCTGTTCACATTCCAACACTGTGGGCAGCGGGGTGGGGCCGGCTGGCAGCAACCCATCTTGGGACTGGAAGCAAAAGAGCTCGCTGGGGCGGGAGGGTCTGCCTGCACCCAGAGCCCCCGGGCAGATGCTGGGCATGTTCTCAGGCAGCCGACAGGACGGGCAAGTAGACTGGACAGAGCATGAATTTTCTCCTCCTCATGAAGGACAGTGGTTCTGACTCTTACAGATTTACTCATGTGATTTCTGTCCACTGCACCGTTATTGCAAAAGCAACAGAAGCAAAAAGGCGTCTGAAGACATACAACATCAAAACGGATAGAAAATGGATAATAGGAAATATATGCTGAGAAAATAAGCCGTGGCTGACGTGCCATCGGGAGAGATAGTCGGCCTGGCTAACTATCTTTTAAGCTTGTCCACAAAAGCAACAAGGCCTGACACTGGGCTGTGAGTCATCCAGCCTGACTCTAACCTCGGAACTAAGAGGACAGGAAAAGGGACACCCAGACCTCATTCAGAAGTGGGGGGTCCCCCCCGCAGGAAGAGCCGGCCACCTACATGACAACTTCTCCATGTAGGGACTGATTTCTCACTGCCCAATCAACTTGAGCCAAGTCCACATTCCTTTGCCCTTAGACTACTCCTTCACCAATAAGATGTGACTCCTGTGTCCCCAAAATGATGTAAATCCTTTCCTTCCCTGGTGGCAAAATGGATTTGAGTTTTTTATGCTCCTGTCTGCTTGCCAGTCAACTCAAAACGAGCCCATTCTGCTTTCAAAAGGCCGGTGCCATGATATTGGTTTTCTGCGCATTAGGCAGAGGCCCCTTGGCTGGGTATCAAAAATGACAAATTACAACTGCCTGTGGCTGCCGGTTGCTTCGAGATTAGAGCAGCATTTTTACTTTCTGTGTAACAAAGCTTTGTAAGTTAAATCTTAATGGGAAAAAAAAAGACAAAATGATGTATTTCTTGTTTGGGCAGCCATTGTGTTTTAATTGCACTCAAACACTTCCCAGCTACCATTACAGGCTCTCCTCAGAGAGAGGGTCTGTCCCACTGCATGCTGGCCTGGGCTCCCAGACAGGGCAGGGGAATGGCTTCAGGGCTCCTCTAGTTCATTACCCAGCTACTTTCCAGCGTGGTTACACCCAAGCATTCACATGCTGAAACATCTGCTTTATTCTCAGTTCTTGTTTTACTGTTATGTTATGTTAAGGGTAGTGTGTTGAGTTATTTATTTGCATGTATGGGGGGGGGTCACCCATGCCTTTATCACACCCATGGCACCACAAAGTACTTCCCCAGGAGGTGAGCATGGAGTGGGACCTGCTGAGAATGGGGAACCCCCCCTCGCCTGCTCCCTCACCCACCCCCACCCCCTGCCTGCTCCCTCACCCACCCTCACCCCCTGCCCGCTCTCTCACCCACCCCAAGGGGCAGGCACATGAGGTCCCACCTGAAAGAGCAGCACCAGGGTCAGCGTGACGCAGGCTAAGCCGCAGATGCCATAACCGACCAGCAGGAGGAGCTGCCTGCCCAGCAGCTCCACGGTGAAAGCCTGCAGGTGACAAGGGGTCAGGAGGTCAGAGGGCATTGGCTTCTGGGACTTGGTCCCCCCACGCCCTCCTCCACACCCCTGAGGCCTGCTTCACGAATGCAGGAGCTTCTCAGGCTAGGAGTTTGAGGCCCACGCTGCAGGCCCCACACCCATGGCCCTTGTTTCAGCACTGACAGAGCCCCGGACCTCCACACCCGCGCCGCTTCCCCCCTTCCCTGTAACGACCATGTCCCCAGATTCTGGATTTGCTGCCTTGACCTCTCCGGGCCTTGCTGAGGCTGACAGGACCGCCCCTCCCCTGCTAGCCTGTTACTAGCAACAGATCATCTGTGAGGCTGTCAAACATAGTCAGTGAGAGCCCCCGACCCTCAGCCTCTGCACCACCACTCCCCTGCCCGAGCCCCCAAGGCAGGTACAGACAACAGGGGTGGCCCTGCGCCCCAGAGTCTGCTGAAATCTCGCAGACTCACCAATCCTAACCCTGCTTGCCCTGCCTCGCCTGTTCTTTCCTACTAACCTTATAACCTGGCCTCTTGCCTGTGTTCCCCCCAAGCCCCAACACACCCCCCGGGGGCTTCCCCACGGGGACCTCCTGGGGAGCTGTAACTTGATCTTCAGTGGCTCCGTCTCCTCCTGACCCTTGGCCTTACCACACCCCAACAGTCACAAAACCCACATTTTAAAATAGGCCACCAAGAGGGCCTGGACACGGGCCTGGACCCCAACCCTTAGCTCTACCACTCCCTGTGTCTGAGGTCACTTTTCCCTGGCGCCAAGGAATGGTGTTAGGGGCTTAAACAACCAGCTCTGGGGAAACTGTGAAGAAGGAGTGGCAGCTTTCCAGAACACCTTTAACCTCACAGGTTACTCAAGAAAGAGGAATCAATAAGATGACGTGGCAAGCTCCTGGAGAAAGGCGCGCCGAGGCGGCCCGGCCTGGCTGTGGCATCTTTGTCGAGTCACCTTTTTAAAACAAATGTGGTGCATGTAGCAGCGACGAGGGGTTCAGCGTTTCAACACAACACCCAGAAACAACGGTCTGACACCCACAGACACCAACACCTGCAGCGGAGGCGGGGACGGGCTTCACCGGCCTCGGTTTACAGAGCGCGAGCCTGGCCCGGAGGTGACTAAGGAGCCTGGTCAAGGCACAAGGAGAGGCATGGGCGCACCCAAAGGCCCACGCCCCCCACCAGCCTCTCAGCCGACCCGTGGGCCCCTGACGCACCCCATGGACGGGAGCGTCTGGTCACTCACCGAGATGACGGTCATCACGATGTTGACCACGCCGGCCCCCACCGTCACGTACTGGGAGTGAGCGGCCTCCACACCGGCCGCCGTGTAGATGAGGTCTGCGTAGTAGTTGATCTGGAACAGGAGCGCAGGGGTCGGGGGAGAGCCCGGAGGACGCGGTGTTGTTGGTAGTTTGCTACCTCAGGCCGGGGCCTCTCCTCTCACTCTGCTCAAGGTCCCCCCAGGCATCGCCTCAGTCCCGCCCAGCCCGGAGGAGAGGGGCGACCCCGCCCTTCCCAAAGCCACCGTGGTCCACACTGACAGCTCTTCTTAACCTCCGGGAGGCCCCAAAGACCTGACGCCCCCTCTTCCTGACCCGGCCAACTTGGGGCCTTCTGGAGGCGGCCCCCACCCCCTTTGTGCAGATCTCTGCCCACCCCTCCACTATTTGATCGACGCGGTTACAGATAGAGAACCATGTTCAGGACAGCGATGGCCCCAGCAGTCACGGCTGAGCCTCCTCACGGCTCTGACCCAAGCCCCTGCCCGCCCCCCCCCACTCCAGGCTGAGACGGTTCCAGAAGCTCTCTAGCTCCTCCTGCTAGCTGCTCTCTCGTGGAGGGGGAGGGGGCTGGGGGAGGCAGTTTTTCTTGGGGGCTGGGAAGCAAAGGCGAGCTTCTGGAGTTAAGAGAAAAATAAGGTGGACACGTGGGGAGGCCCCTGAGGTTTCCTAAAGCCAGCATTCCGGGGCCTCCCCGGTGGCGCAGCGGTTGAGCGCTGGGTTGCGAAGCTGCCCGCAGCCTCTGCAGCGCCGGTTCGATCCCCGGCTGCTCCCCGGCCCCTGGAGGAGGGTCCCACATGGCGCACAGACCTCTCCTGCCGCCCGCTGCTCCCCTCAGCAGTGGACTTCGGCCCTTCTGCCTGCTCTGCTCCCCGCTCTGGCTCTGGTGAATTCTCTCACCCTCCCGCGCTGCTGACTGTGCCCAGTGCTTGTATGAATAAATAAATAAATCTTTAAAAAAACAAAAAAACAAAAAACAAAAACGAAAAACCCAGCATTCCGCCCTAGTTTCTGGGCCGTCCCTGCCCCGCAGAGCACCCCTGGCCTTCGGCGGCTGGCCTGCGCGCATGAATTAGGCTGCTCTGCACGAACTGCTGCCGGGTTCTGCACACGAGAGCATCCCAAGAGGCGGAGGGGCTGCCCCGCAGCCCTGCCTGTGACTCTTAGTCTGAGTTTCTCCAGTCGCCGAGCAGCTCTTTTGTTCAGCGACTGTCCTCCTGCCCCTGGATGCAGAGCTCAGCCCTGGACGTGGCTCAGCCTGGACGTGGCTCAGCTTGTGCCTTGGCCACTTGGCCGCCAAATGACCCATCTAGGGACGGGCTGGGCGCTCCTCGGGATTGCTTGGTGACATCCGTTGAGTTTGATGAAGTCAAGCGGCCTCAGGGGGCAGCGGAAGTGTGGCCGCCCCCCCCAGAGGCTCAGCAGCAGCCCCCACACTGGGGAGCAGAGCCCCCGCCTCCCCCCCCACCCGTCCCTGGCACACCGGCCGCCCCTCGGGCCCGTACCGCGTTGATCCCGGAGAGCTGCTGGCCGGCCATGAGGACGATGATGGAGACGAGCTGCCAGCGGAGGGGCCGGAAGGTGAGGAGGTTGAGCACGGACAGGCGGCCCTCGGCCTCCTCGGCCTGGCTCTCCAGGCGCATTTCTTCTATCTCGTCCTCCACGTTGGCCCGGCCTCTCAGTTTCCTCAGATCTGGGAGAGCAGACGGTCCCACCTCTGCTGCTGGCGGCAGCTCACCCAGCTCGGGGGCCGGGGGACAGCACCCCACCAAAACATTGGCCTGGGCTTCCCGAGGGCGCGGCGTTCACTGGCCCCCAGCAGGCGCTGGCACCGTGGTGGTGCCCCCAGCCCCCACCACACGCACCCCGGCCGCGCGCTCTGCACTGTCGGCCGGGACACCGACCACAGCATTGCTGAGTCCTCATGAGCTGCACCTCGGTGGCAGCCCCCCCTCCACCCACCACCTCCCCTTCCCTGCTGTGGGCATGTGAGGGGCGTCCTGGCAGGCGCGGGAGGCGCGGGCCGGTGGCGGGCGCAGCGTCCTGACAGCAGCCGTGTTCTGGTACCTCGCCGAGCCGTGTCCTCGTCTCGCCTCTGAATGAGGGTGTAGCGCGGGCTCTCGGGGAAGAAGGGCAGAGACAGGAGCTGCAGCAGCGCAGGGACGCCCGTGAGTGCCAGGAGCACCGGCCAGCCTGCGGGCGGACACCCAGAGCGTGGGGCCATCTGGCAGGGGAGTGCCAGGGCGCTGGGCACCTCTAGCCAGCCTTCCTGTGACCTGACTCTCCTCTGGCCAGGTCACCTGCCCGTGGTGTCCCAGCCCCAGCGAGTGCCAAGGACAGCAGGGACCTGGTTCTTGCCCCGCGGTGACTGCCAGGGCCCCCACGCAAAGGGAGGCTGATTCAGAGGCTCGGAGTTCACTTTGCGGGCAAGGCACGACTCTCCTCAGGACCAGCACCCACAGAGGACTTAGGGTGTGAAACCTGGAGACGATGAAGCCGGGTCCCTAATTTTATGGCTGGAAATGGCATAATCGCTGCCTCACGAGGGGGTGCCGGCGGGGAGGGGGACGGGCCCAGCACCGTGGCTGTGTGAGCGCCTTCCCGAGCTTCGGGTTGAGGGGGCAGAGCTGAGAGTCAGCGATGACAAAGGCCCTGCACCCCCACCTGTAGCCCTGGCAGGGGACTTGGAGCAGTTATTTAACCTCTAAGCCTTGGTATTCTCGGCCATGCGTCAAGATGACAGTGGTGGTGGTGGTGATGGTGGTGATGCTGATGGTGGTGATAGTGATGGTGATGAATATGACGATGGTGATGATGGTGATGATGATGGTGATGATGGTGATGGTGATGGTGGTGGTGATGATGGTGACGGTGGTGATGCTGATGGTGGTGATGCTGATGGTGGTGATAGTGATGGTGATGAATATGATGATGGTGACGATGGTGACGGTGGTGGTATTAATGGTGCTGGTGCTGGTGATGTGATGGTGGTATTGATGGTGTTGGTGTTGGTGATGGTGATGTGATGGTGATGGTGGTGTGAATATGGTGATGGTGATGATGGTGATGCTAAAATGTCCCACAGAGTGGTGAGGGTTGGAAGAGACATCGTGCCCCAGGCATCACTGGTCCTGGGCAGTGACAGGCCAGTGTGGCCTCCACTTATGTCCCCTCGTGGCCACCGCTTGACATTCACCTGCACGGGGAAGCCCGGGCTGTGGAAGCTGCTCTTCCACTGAGCACCCGCGGGGTTTTGAGCCTGAGACGAGGTGTGGCCCAGGAAGACAGCGATCCACTCGCTAAATAATTTGCTTGGAACTGGGGAACTTGAAAATGGTTATGGAAAAAACCACACCAACCCCAGCGGGTTTTCGTGCCCGCAGTTCCCGCCGTCTGCGTCTCCCTCCTGGTCTTCTCCCACCCAGGCCTCGGGGACGAGGCCCCCCACTCCGCTCCCCTACACCTACGGGCCTGCCCCGACCCCTCACTCTCAGCCACTGACCTTGCCCTATTTCCAAGACAACAGCAGCATCCAGAAGAGTCTAGCGGGGCACCGGCGGCCAGCAGGCCGCGCGCCTGTCCACCCGCTGCCGTCCCCGCGCCCCTCGCGCGCCCACCCGGACGGACGTGGCCACGCTCCAGGCCCCGCGGTCTTTCCCAGCTGATAGACCTCCGCTCCCCATGCTCCATCCCCTTCCAGCTGCCACCCAGCTGCTCTCCTCGTCTCGCAGAGCAAAACTCCACGGGCTGTCTACACAGCCTGTCTCCCTGTCGCCTGGTTCCCAAAGCACTGTCCCCACCGCTCACCTTGACCTTGTCAAGGTCACCAGCCACACGCTGCCTGAAGGTCACCTCTCAGCTTCCCCTGACTCGTCTGTCAGTACCATGGGCACAGCGGAGCGGGGGGGGGTGGTGTGTGTGTGGGGGTGTGGTGGGGTGTGGTGGTGGAGCAGGACCCATGGCCACAGCGCCCTCCCCCCGCCCCCGCACCTCGTTTCCCTGCTTGGCTGCAGCTACCTGTGGCGTTTCCCAGGGCGGCCTGCAGGCTGAAGATCTGTGCCAGGAAGACGCCCACGATGACAAAAACCTCGGTCATTGTTCCCAGGGTGCCCCGGAGGTTCTTGGGAGCCAGCTCCCCCAGGTACATGGGGAGGGCGCTGTAGGAGATGCCTGGAGGGGGACGCAGCTGTCGGGGCAGAGCACGGGCAGTCCCGGCGCCCCAGCTCCAGGGTTTCTGCCCCCGTGGGGGAGGGGAGCGCGCCATCCCGCTGCCCGGTCTTACAAGGACCCCTCCAGAATCCTGGGGCCCCAGGAACACTGGTGGGGTGGTGAGACGCGCCCCCTTCCCAGTGGGGTAGCTGGAGCCCCTGCTATGGGGCGGAGAGTCCCTCGGTGGAGAGATTTAAACACACGCCCTCACTTGGCTTTGTTTTCTGAAGCGCGGGTGCCTTGTGTGACCTTTGTCCTGGCTGAAGAAACCGCCACAGCTAAGAAGCCTCACCCCGCTGCTGCCCGAGGCCCCACCGCCTGTACCCCTTGGGCTTGCAGCCCCTCGTCCCGGCGGGGTCTCCCCGACGCACCTGCGCAGACACCGAGCACCACGCGCGCGAAGATGATGAGCTCGAAGGCCTTGGCCACCTTGCTGACCCCCATCAGGACGGCAGGGATGATGGCGAAGACGTTGTTGACCAGCAGGGTCCCCTTCCTGCAAGGACAGCAGAGCCCGCGGGGCGGGGCTGAGATGGCAGGGCGCGGGGAGCCCCCCAGTCACCTTAGGGGACCAGGATGTGCCTGGGGAGACGGAGGGTGAAGACAAGATGGGGAGGCCAGACCGATGGGCAGAGGCCCTAGGACTGGGAGTCAGCGGAGGGGGTGGCGAGGGGCCGGGCACAGTGGCGCTGCCTGAAGATGATCAAGGGGATCAAGGTCTGCCTCCCTGGGGTTTTGGGGGATGGGGGAGCTTCCTGTTGCCAGTGGCTGCAGCAGGAGGCAGGAGGTGACTGAGTGAGGCACCCTTGGGCCTGATGAACCCGAGGTCACTTCTGAGGCTGAAAGGCCGGAGCCTGTGAGGGGCGGCGTGGAGCACACGGTGGCGCCTGCTCCCCAGGCCCCAGCCCTGCCTGCCAGGCCAGGCTTGCCCTCGAGCTGACTTGGTTCGCGGCTCCCTGGCCCCTGCCCTCCCGTCGGCCTGGGTCTTGCTCTAGAGAGAACAGCAGAGGCTCAGGAGGGAAGAGCACCCAGCGGGGGGCTGGCGGCACCACACCTGGGGATGTCCCACCTCTGTGGCCGTGGGGAGCCTCGGGAGCTGGCTGATGCAGGGGAGCGGGGTCTGTTGGACAGGGCGGGACACGAGGCTAGGAGCCAGAGGGGGGCTCACCACAGACACCCCTCCTGTGGGGCGGCGCTACGGTTCTACGAAAACAAGCTCTGCCAGGCGACGCCTGCTCACGGACGTGCATGCTGGCTTTCTGAGGCCACTTTTCTCTCCCTCCCTGGCTTCCCACCCCCGGAGCTGCCACCAGAGCCCAAACTCCGAGTCCAGGCTCAGCCAGCCATGATGCCTGCAGAGAACAAGTGGCCCCCACAGGCGTGTTCCCCCACAGTCTGCTCCTCCCCCCCCCACACCTGCTCCTCCCACAGCCCCTCCTCAGCCTGAGGCCTTGTCAGTTTAGGGGAAGGGCTGGCTGTCCACTCTGCTGGGGTAAGGCTGGCTTCACCCCCAACAGTATTGCCGTCTGCAAAAAGATGAGACCATCCCTGAGGTCCCAAGTTCTTTGACTATGGGGTTCAGGCAAGGAAGCCGAGGCCAAACCTGGGCTTCTAGAACAGTCTAGTCACTCTTGATCTAGCTGAGGACAGCTGTCTGAAATACAAAAGTCTGTGTTTTGGCATCATTACAATACAATGTGTGTCACCTCCATTCACGCACACAGCATATGGCAAATTCACTGTTGAAGAGTTCATGGACGCTGCTTTCATAAACAATCCTCAGTTGGCAATGTTTTCTTCTAGGCATGGATCCCCAATTGCTCTGGTTCTTTGAAATTGCTGTATTTTCTTTAGAGGGCTTTCCACTCACCCCCACCAACTCCTGGCTGTGCACAGCAAGTGTAACTGTGAATCTGGGGTGGAGAGGGGGTCAGGCCTGATGGACCCGAGACCTCACTCAGGACCTGGGTGCTCACCCAGCTCCCTTGGGGACCTTGCCCTGGTGTCTCGCTTATCTGGTGTCCTGTCTTTGCAGCACCTGGGCTTAGGCAACAAGATCAGTGCATCCGTGAGGCCAAGCAAAGTACAGAGAACTAACTTTCTTCCTTCTCAAGCAAGACACGGGACAGGGGTCCGTGACTCAGTCTGAACCCAAACCTCAGAAGGACAAGGCTGATGAGGCCACATGGGGAAAGGAAGCAGGCGCTCCAGCTGGGGGTCACCTGACCACGAATCAAACCCAATCAATAAGCATTTATCACACACCTGCTGGCAGTGCTGACAGGGCACCTGTTAACACTGTCAGGAACTTTGATCTCGAGGCTGCACCACCTTCACAGGGCAGATGGCAGAGGGGGTGCTCTTACTGTGCAACTGACAAGAGAAACCCTGGGACTTGCTTTTAGGCTGTGTTGTGTATGCTCAAGTGGGAACTAGATTTCAGGCCTCCTGGTCTTCAGGGTCACTCCTGAAACATCTCCCAGCCACACAGAGCTGCCGAGGGACAGTGTGATTTACCAAAGTGAATTATAAGAAAGAGCTGCACCTTCCTCTTTACCTGCCACATCTGTCAACCATCAGGCCGACGACCAATGACCCCAGCAAGCCGCCCAGCGGGAACATGGAAACGGTGCAGGACCACAGTATCAGCAGGTTCTTCTCGTCCATGAATGTGCCATGTCGCTCGAAGTAGGTTTCGTTATAGAATGACTTCAAGACCTGGAAAACATGCATCGCCCAGAACATGGGGCCACTCACCAGAGATGATGAAGCCATGTTCTCAGTTGCCTCTGTCACTGGATATTTCTTTTTCTTTTTCTTTTTTTTTTTTATTTTTTTAAGATTTATTTATTTATTTATACAGATTGATTGATTAATTGATACAAGCACTGGGTACAGTCAGAAGCGCGGGAGGGTGAGAGAATTCACCAGAGCCAGAGCGGGGAGCAGAGCAGGCAGAAGGACCGAAGTACACTGCTGAGGGGAGCAGCGGGCGGCAGGAGAGGTCTGCGCGCCATGTGGGACCCTCCTCCGGTGGCCGAGGAGCAGCCGGGGATCGAACTGGCGCTGCAGAGGCTGCGGGAAGCTTCGCAACCCAACGCTCAACCGCTGCGCCACCGGGGAGGCCCTGTCACTGGATATTTCTGCCAGTGTCCCTAGGACACGATGGATTCTCTGCAGCTACCTGAGAACAAAAAAGTCTGCTGTGTGGAGTGAGATGAGGAACCAGACAGCAGAAAGCACTGGGAAAAAATTCACTGTTTAAAAATTCATTTTGCAGGGCTTTCCAAGAGGCAACATAGGAAATATTTTTACTAATTGTGTGACTCTGGACAAGTTATATTACCTCTATGAGTCCTGCTTTCCTCATCAATTATATTATAGGAATAATATATCTCCATTAGTGAACCTGTGCACGTCCAATGTGATGTACTGGTTGTGCATTACTTGACTGAGAGAAAAGATGCTCCGTCAATGGTAATAATCTTAGGTGTCAGGAGCAGCTACTGCAGCACCTCCTGTAAGCACCTGCTGGATAAAGTGCAGCCACAAACTGACAACTGAAAGTACAACAGAACTTACATACTCAAACGGATGAATGAACAAGCATGACTCCCTCTCAGTTGAGTCCTAACATGCCCTCTTCATCTTCCTCCATTAAGTTTCATTTTTTGCTCCCCAGTGCAGCAAAGCTTCCACACACCCCTTGTCCCAACGTCCCTGGTAAGGATGGTGCTCCCGAGGGATACAACACGAGCCATTGTCTGTTCTCCAGAGGGAGGCATCCAGGGAACAGGGGAAAATGGGCTGGGGAGCTTCTGAAACAAGATGGCAGCCTCCATGAAGCAAGATGGCGGCCCCCATGAAGCAAGATGGCGGCTTCCATGATGGCAACCTCCATGAAGCAAAATGGCGGCTTCGGAGCAGTAAGATGGCAGTCGCCTCCTACCCACCTGTACCCACCTTGTGTGGTGTGTTGACCACTGCGATGTTGTAGCCGTACTGGAAGGCCGAACCAAAGGCTGCGCTCAGTGTCGCCAGCACCAGCGTGGGCTGGAAGCCCTGTGGGCGATGAAGTCTATGGTCAGGGACAATGGGAGGTGGTCACAGGGACCTCTGGAAATGGAGTGGACCCCGGGCAGGAATGGGGGGGGCAGAGGAGCCCAGTCCATGCTCGGGAATGAGGAGGTGGAGGGGCAAGGTGGCTGGGTTGCAGGGTGAGTGGCATCTTATGCTGTTCTTGGCCCACATTCATTCTTCCCTTGAGCATTCCCGAGTGCTGGCCCCGTATGGAGGAGGAGGGCTCCGCAGAGCAAAGGCTCAGCATCATGCTGCTGTGTGATGCTGACATTTTGGGGTGGGGTGGGGTGACGGGGGTGCGGGCAGGGGTCCGGAGGAACCATACACACACACACACACACACACACACACACACAACAAGAGGTAAATAGGAGAATTCCAAATACGCCAGCGGGAGAGGAGGCGCGTGGCCAGCAAAGCCTCTCAGAGCAGGCGCCTCTGAGCTGAGACCTGACGGATGGGCGGTAGCATCCTGTGAGCACCGGGGAAAGACCGTTCCAGACAGGGGGAGCTGCAGAGGCCCTGGAGGACACACCAGTCAGTCTTTCACTCCAGGACAGGGACAGGGCTCAGGAAAGCCACAGCCATTGTGTTGCCGTGGCTACCCCAACCCCCAGGGCATCTCAGGAGGGCCAAAGTCTGGGGGCAGGGGGGCAGCAATGGGGTGGGGCCCGCAGACTGAGTTGGTGCCACAGCCCCTCTCCTCTCCTGCTAACTGCCCTCTCCTTCCCCATCCGCTGCTGAGGCCCCAGCCCCGGGCCCCAACACGCAGGGCCAGGCAGGCAGAGAAGGGCAGGGGGACAGGACGGGGCCAGGCGGGAGGGGGCATCTCTGACCCCATCCAGTCTCCCATAGTCCACACGCATTAGAGCTGCGCTCGGCTCCTGACCCCGGGCCTGACCTGCGATGTGGGGGGAGGCCCCCCGCAGAAAGCCAGGGCAGTGCTAACCTCTCCTTGCGGGCAGCACTTCAGGAGCCTGCTCCTGCCTCCACAGGCCCCTCCCGGGTGGGACAGGGACAGGGGTGGTTTCCTGGGTCTGGCACTTACCCCCTCCCTGGGTGGGGTGGGCGGGAAAGCCCCCAGCTCATGTTTCTCCATCCTGTTTTGCTGAGAAACAGGCGCTGTCTCCCTAGGGACCCGAGTCCTGCTCTGGGCGGCTGCTCCGGGGCCAGCCACCTGCCTCCCCAGCCCCACGGCTTTATGACCCTTGTGGCCTCTGGACCCTGCTCACTGTCCCTACCAGCACGTTTTCCTTGGACGCAGCGATAAGATAAGAGTCACACACGGGGTGAACTTCATCTCTGCCTCTGCTAAGCCCGGCCAGAAGCTCCCTGATCTCCCCAAGGAGGGGGCGCGGGGGCTGGCTCGGCTCTGGACAGGAGGAGTTTCAGAAACCAAGTCACGCCTGGCTGACCGGCCCTCTGCTCCGGCGCTGTCTCTCCCTGTGCTTCCTCCTCTGGACCCAGACGGGCGATCCTGCAGGGGGGGGGCAGCTCACCGCGCTGAAAGGAATCCTGTCTGCCCTCTAGCCGGGCTTAGCCTCTACCAGGGCCAAAAGGAGAGAAAGACTGAAGATCACGATGGCAAATTAGCTGCTGGGGACTCCGGGCTCAAAGAATAATCACGACGACGAGGACTGTGGGGACAGGCGTGGACTTCGAGTGGCGCATGCAGAGAGGCTGGTGTGAGTGGCCACCGTGGACGCATGATGACCCCCGCGGGGATAAGGGGGCGCCATGGAACTAATCAGCTCCTTCCATCTCCTGTCTGCTGCGCCCCTCCTTCCTTTTCAGCCCTCAGGAGCAAAGTCGTTAACTGTTGGGGACAGTTCCCCACCCTTCACCCCCGATCGCCTAGCCAGGGGCCAAGTAAGGACGGGCCCTGGGCCAGGGACAGTGTCCACGCGCCCTCGCAGCCTGTTCTGGGCAGTGGCCCGTGGGGGAATGTCTTTCCCGTCCCAGGATCAAAGTGTGCTCCTTGGCTCTGCTTAAGTGCAAGTGGCATGGACCTGCCAGGCAGGCCCCCTGCTTGCTGGGTCCGACCCCACGGGCGAGGAGTCGGGTGGCCACCCACACAGCCTCCCGCAGCTGCAGGGTGGACCTGCTCGCCTCGGGCTGGGCACCGGGCAGGGCTGGCCTGGCGCCCCGCTCTGTCCTCTCACTGATGACACCTGAGCCTGGTCTGTTCTCAGCGACCTTGACTCGTGTGCTGGTCTCTCCCCTGGGTGCCCACCTGCCTCTTGACCTTGGCTGTGGCTCTTGACTGTGGCCAGCTGTCGACACCGAAGGCGGACATTTGTGTTTCTATGACAGTCTGTCCTAGTTTTGCTTCCCCGCTCACCCCGCCACGTGTGTCTCAAGAGTCTTCTGGCTTCTCGCTGCCGTGCCAGCGCCGTTCTGTCCAGGTAGGAGTCTGTACGGCTGCCCTGGCCGCCAAGAGGAACGTGAGTTCCCTGTGGCTTCTGTGACAAATCACCACGAAACTGAGTGTTCTCAACAGCACATGTGTTACCTTAGTTTCTGTGGGCGCTGAGTCTGACACGGGTCCTGCGGGCTGGGGGTGTCAGCAGGGTGCAGGGTGACAGGCCCTCCTGGGACCGCCAGGGACGGTCGTTTGCAGCTTCTGGAGGTCTCCCGAAGTCTCCGTCTTCAAAGCCAGCAGCGTGGGAGTATTTCTCAGACCACCTCTTTCTGGTTCTCCTGTCCCCGTGGTTACATTGCTCCCACCTGAATAACCCAGAAACTCTCCCATCTTGGGGTGTGCTGATTAGTTCCATCTGCAATTTCAGTGCCCCCTTGTCATGGAACTTAACATAGTCACAGGTTCTGGGGGTTGAGGGGCACGTTTGCGGGGAGGGTGGTGTTGTTCTGCCTCGTGATCTTCCAGTTTGTTCCTGAAGACTCTTGAACGCTAGTCCAGCAGACCTCTCCGCTTTATTTATCAGCCACTGACTGTTCTCTTGGGAGCCCTGCCTGGCTGGCCATGGCCCTCAGCCTCCTAACACCACCTCAGCTCCTCAGCTTCTCTCTCCCTCTTCCCTGAGTTGGTCACAACAACATCAAGCTGATGGCAAAACCCAGCTCCTTCCTGCTGTCCCTGCTGCTTGAAATACTCCCCTCCCGGCCAGGTCCCAGACCAAGGTCACCTCCTTGAGAGATCCTCCCAGGACCTCCCTCCTAAAGTAACCCCCACCCCTCACCTGGCACGGCTGACACTTGACCCTGAGTGTTCTCTGAAATGCCCCGACATACTGTATTTTTGACCATTAGATCTGCTTCCTGGCACATAGTAGGTGCTCAACAAATATTTGTTGAATGAAAACATGACGGCTTCCCTCTAAACACCTTGTGTGTCCCACAGGCTCCTCCTTTTCAACATAAAAAAATTTTACTCTTTTCTCCCCAAACTGGCCACCCAGCTTCCCCAACCCTCCTGGTGGGTCCATGTCAGAAACCTGTGGGCCACCTGCGGGGACCGAGTGTCCCTAAATCCTGCTGGCTTGGCAGGACCCCTCCCATTTGTTGCTGTCTGATCTCCTTACCCAAGTCCCACGGGTCCTCATTACTGCCGCCACCCAAACCCAGGGACCCTGGGGCTTGGGGTCGTGTTGAGGATGAAGTTCAGACTCAGTTTGACTCGTAGGGGCCGGAGGATCTAATCCCACCTTCCTGGCTTCACCTTCAGACCAGACCACTTGGTGTTCCTTGAACACCTCCACATCCCTCTCTGCGTCGGGAATGTGTGTTCCTCTCTCTGCAGCAGGGCGGTCCCCCAGAAAGGCGAGGTTCCAGGCTCCCTGGCCCACCCAAGGCAGGATGTCGCTGAGCAGGGAGGAGAAGCTGGAGAGGACCGGGAGAAGGAAGGAAGGAGATGGAGGACAGGATTGCACAAGGCGTGAGGAGCAGGAGCATGAGACAAGCTGCACTGGCTTGTCTGCCCGCCCTGGTTCCGGGGACTCGGGGACAAGGAAGGAGATGGTTCAAACAGACGTGGCGAGAGCCCGTGAGGAGGCTGGCAGTGGCAGCCTTTATCTTGACTTGGGTTTTGATTTTGCTGCTTTCCTTCCAGACTTACTTGGCTGCTTCTGCCCCTTTTCTGTGGGTCACCAGAAGGTGTCAGGCTGGCAAGCTTTGGGCCTCAGCGTTCCTGTTTGGCTGTGCACTTACCCACAAGGGGATGGGTAATTTGGGGTGTTTAACTGGAAACTAGTTCAACTATGTTCTTTCTCTTCTCTCTATAGCCCACCAACTCTATTAAAGTTATTTTCTCTTAAACGTTGTACACACTAGAGTATGTTTTGTCTTGATGTGGCGGATGGCAGAACATATTTAGAATAGGCAGGTTTGGGGGGCCTGGGGGGCCCCTCACCTACAACAGCTCTCTTGCTGCAGCTGCCCACCCCCTGGAGAGTTCCTTTGGTTGTTCCTAATGCCACACCTCCCTTCTCTTGTGTTTTACTAACCGCCCAGGCATACGTCCCTATACCCTATAGATGGTTCTGTGGGTGGCCATCACTGCCACACCAGCGGAACATGAGTACATTCTAAGACCCCCAATTAACTGTCACCACAAGGGCTGTCCCACAGGGATCTTTCTAGACTTCTCCTCCTGGATTATCTGTAACCCCCACTGCCACAGTAAGATGAGGCCCTGCCACCCCCCTCCCTCCTCCCCACCTCCTTGTTCCCTCCCAGTGCATATGCACAGGTCTCTTGCTGTTGTTGTTGTTTTTTCCCCAAAGATTTATTTATTTATGCACACAAGAACAGACCAGAGGTGAGGGGGCCGAGAGGAGTTGCCAGAGACAGAGTGGGGAACAGAGCAGGCAGGTTGACTGAAATCCACTGCTGAGAGGAGCAGCAGGGAGACAGGAGAGGTCTGCTGTGCCATGTGGGTCGCTCCCTGGCTGGGGATCGAGCTCATGCTGCAGAGGCTGCGGATAGCTTCTCTATCTTAACCCCTTGCACCACCAGGGAGGCCCCTGCTGTTGTTTTTTTAATCTATGGTTTATTTGTTCTTGAGATCAATGACCTCAAGAACTTAAAAATAAGTGAAAGTTCTTACTACATGCCAGGCATGGATCTAAACACTAAAAACGGATGAAAACACTGACTTCTCATAAGCAGGTGAGACTTTTATTAGAAAGAAGAAACCATGACACAGACAAGCCAAGTAATTTGCCCAAGTGCCACAATTAACTAAGAGGTGGAGGCCAGACTTCCCAGGGAGCAGACCTCCAGAGTCACAAACTCCACAGCCACCTGAACCACCCCTGCCCCTGACCCCTTGTTGTGGGACCGCAGGTTGAATGGCTAGCAAGACCCCTTACCTTCTGGCATCCCAGCCTTCCTGCTCACTCCTCAGTGTTGAGGGCACATCTTTGGCCATTTTCTGTGTCCCCTTCTGCTGCAGAAGTTCAAGGATGGCTTGATCACAATGTTACACTATGGACTTCATCCGGGCCCTCAGTGGTCTTGTGAGTCCATTGTCTGCAAAGTCCTCATTCCACCTTCACAACAGAAGCCCCCAACCCCATGCTGCCTGCCTGGCCCCTCGCCTCTGGCCCCAGCCCCTCCGACATCCAGATTCCACACCTTGCCAGAGGCCTCCGGCAGGGCTTCCTCCACTTTCCCCTCCACCCTCCAGGTTTTCAACCTTTTTTGCACAAACCTTGCTTCACACACACACACCCCGCTCTCAGGAAAGACCCTGGGTCTGCTCTATGTGGGGGGCACCCCCTCCTTGTGCCTCCCCACCTCTCTGTGTCCCCCTGCAGTGTTTACTATGTATCTGAAGAAAGGCAGTGGCTTCCTCAATCTCAAATTCCAAAACCCACAGCTTTGTAACCTCCTCATCTCTCACTTCTCCCCCTCTTTTAGCAAATGTTTTCTGATAGGCCAGACCCTGTTCTGGGAGGAACAAGCCCAGACTTGCCCTGCCCTTAAGGGCTGACACACTGTGTGCAGGAGTGCCTCACCTTTCCTGCTCACGGAAGAAAGCACATCTTGCTGAAAAGTCATCAGATTTGTTTTATTGGGTATAGAGAAGCAGTTCCACTGTTCTTTAACAATATAATTTAGGATTAGTGATCTCCAGCTCAGCTAGAGTCCCCGCAGGAGCCTGTTCCCCAGTTTTCTACCTTCATTGCTGTGGCACTGCCCTCTCCCAAATGGGTATTTCTGGAGGAGGGTCCACCAGGAGGATGAATCCTGCTCTGAACAAGTGCCTGTAGCTCCAGAAGACCCAGGGATTGGAGAAGAGCTTGTTTTTCTGGTCAAATTTGATTCCTTCCATCTTACCACCTCAGTAACAATTTTGTTCTAGACCAGGAGTCATGTGGCTCCCCACAGAGGGGAGCTGTGGTGCTGGGGGGGTAGCAGGTCAGTCAGGAGAGGCAGGCAGCCTGGCTCTATGGGACACAGAGCCCATCCCACAGACCGGGTTGGTCCCATGATCCATGCTGGCCCTGTCTTATTTCTGGAGAGTCACAGACATCTGTTAGAAAACAGCCAGGTGGGAGGCTCCACACAGTCCGGCTTACCCAGCATCCCCTCACTAGTTCTGTTCCAAAGTAGCAGGTGGAAGTTCATTCAGCTCCTCCTTGTCTGGGTACATGTCTGGCACCTTATTCCTCTTGGTGAAGATCTGATTGATCTCCATGAATGTCTTGCCTTTGGTCTCAGGGATGATGAAGAAGGTGTAGATGGTGGTGAGGAGGCAAACCACAGCAAAGATGATGAAGCTGTAGGATTTGAGGGCCTCCTGCAGAACAGGGAGTGGGTCGCTTCCTCGTATGGGCTCTTGCTTTACTGCTGGGGCATTTTATGAATTCAGGGCCCGGGGTGCACTTACTTGAATGAATGGGAAGACCAAGCCCACGATGAAGTTGGACAGCCAGTGCACACTGCCCCCTACCACGTAGGCGGACGCCCGAGAGGACTGCAGGAAGATCTCCATGGTGAGCAGTGCTGGGATGGGACCTGGGGAGGAGGAGGAGGAGCTGGGTTCCCTGCAGGCAGAGCGAGCCCACAGAAAGCCCTGAGCCCTGGGTGGGAGCATTGTGTCTCCAAGACCCCTGGTAGTGTGCAGAAGCCGTGTGAGAGGGCCAGCGGCAAGGGTGTTCTAGAAGGGGTGCGCCCCATGGGGCTTCTGCACCAGTCATGGGCAGCATGTTGCTCCTGACAGGCTGCCTACCACCTCCCCCCACCCATTCTCCACCCAAACCCTGTGCAGGGGAGACAGGGAGAGGTCATTGGGGACAGCATTCAGTCCCCCCCGAGCCTCCCCGAGGAGCTCAGGCCAGAAGTTTCTAGAGCTGAAGGCACAGGAGAGGGGCTCTGGGATCCATACTAGGGCCAAGGGCATGTCCCACGACGTAGGAGAAGACGCAGGCAATGCTGAGGTAAGGCATCCAGGATACTGTGTCCTGTGGGGGAGACCAGAGCGGGTCACGCCTGGCGAGCAGAGCACCTGGGGCGGGGAACAGCCAGAGGGCCAGTCGCTCGGCCTGGCTCAGGGGAGGGTGGACTCTGGCTCTGCCAGCTGGATGTCATGGAGGAAACCAGCTGGGCACGGGGAGGGCTATGCGGGTGGGCTGTGGGCAGTGGCCCCGGCATCTGACTCATGGTATTTGCTGCAAATAGCATCGCTCCGGTCTCTTCTCCTTGTCCTGCAGCTGAGGGTGCAGGGTGACCCTCCCTTGCCTGTGGGCCCCAGGCCCTCCTCACCTGCAGGGCCAGGGCCACGGTCAGCACACAGCAGGCGGCGAAGCAGATGAAGAAGCCCAGAAGGAGCAGAAACCTCCGCCCCAAGTACTCCACCACGAACACCTGGGGACAGGCAAGGGGGAGCAGGCAGGTTCAGGAGCCCCCAGGCCAGAGTGGGGGATCTGTCCCATGTGCCCCCTTCCAAAGGACAGCCGTGAAGACACCCTGCGTGTGCGCCCCCTCAAATGTGCCTTGTGGGGCACCACCCCACCCAGGGGCAAATGTCAGATGTCAGAGAATGCCCCCTCACACATGAAGCTTCTGCAGTGGAGGGGGTCTCCCTCTTGGGGGGCCCTAATGGCCTGTCCCCCACAAGAGACAGGCTGCTGCCTGAGGAGAGCCCAGAGGCTAGGGGTGAGGGGCACACTCCCAGCTCCTTCCCGGCCTGGCCTCCCCATGGTCAGGGTGCCCTCTGTCCTGCGGCCAAGGGCCTGGGCTCGTGGGACACTCACGGCGCAGATGGTGATCAGCATATTGACCGTCCCCGTGCTGACCGTCACGTACTGGATGTGGTCGGTTTCCACCCCTGCGCTCCTGAAGACCTGGTCTGTGTAGTAGAAGATCTGGAAGGCAAGCCAGAGGCTGGAGGCGCAGCCAGGCCACGGCCAGAGCCTCGGGCACCCCCACGCCAGGACACCCCTGCCGGTCCGGCCCCCGCCCCATACCGCGTTCACGCCCGACAGCTGCTGGCCGGCCATGAGGACGATGATGGACACGACCTGCCAGCGCAGGGACCGGGTCTGGAACAGCTTCAGTACGGAGATGAAGCCCGCGGCCTTCTCGGCCTCATCCTCCTCCCGAATCTCCTGAATCTCATCCTCCACGTCATCCCAGCCTCGCAGCTCCCTCAGAGCTGCAGGAGGGAGCAGGGGCGTCTGCGGGGGGCTGGCCACGCCTGCCAAGGACAGGGACCTGCAAGCGCTGTCCCCCCCCCGGAGGTGGGAACGCAAGCCTTACCTTTCCTGGCAGCTTTTTCATCTTTCTTCTGAATCAGCAGGTACCTGGGGCTCTCAGGGGAGAAGGGCAGCAGAAGGAGCTGGACCCCCGCCGGCACCCCAGTCAGCCCCAGGAGGATGGGCCAGCCTGCAAGGAAACCAGTGTCTCATGCCGGCTCCGTGGCCTCCGGCGGACAGGCTGCCGTGTCCTCAGAGCCTCCACTCTGGCCCCCGTTCCAGGCCCAGCTGACCCTGAAGCCAGTCAGTTTCCCTGCGTTGTCCACAGCGGGCGGGGACTGCCTCCCTCCTGGCCACGGCCTTGCGAACTCTGGCCCCCACCCCGCCCCCTACACTGGAACTCTTCTCACAGAGACCCCCTGAATTGCCACACACACTCCTCACTCTTCAGCCTGCTCGCTGTGACTGCACCTCTATGCCTCAGAACCCACGTCTGTAAAGGGGTGCAGCAGCAGTCTGCTCGCCGGGGCTGTTTGGGGGCTCATGTGGCTATTGCAGACCTGGTGCCCGGCCGGGGTGAGCATGAGCGTGGTCTGAGCAGTGATGATTCCCACTCGGAGGTTCGAGACGCAAGACCAGGAAAGGGAAGGTCACGCAAAAACAGTGACGGAGTTACTGCGCACCTACTACATGCCAGGGCCCTTCTCTCTGGGGGAGGTGGTGCAGCGCCAGAGCCAGGTCATGGATGGGGTGGGCCTGCAACACCCCACCTTCCCTAGGCCCAGGGGAGAGCCCCTTTCCTGCCCGGTGGAAAAGCATCACCCCAGGGCAGGGCAGCAGTGCCGCTGGAGGCTCAAGAGACGCCTGGGGCACAGAGTGTGGCTGCCTGGGGGCCTCGCTGCCATGCCCCAGGCCCTCTGCCAACAGCCCCCAGCAGGCAAGAGAAGGTAGGACAACACAATTCCGGCCCAGTGGAAGCTTCCATGCCTGGGAGGGACTAGAAACCTCAGCCAGTCCACCACCAGCGCTGGGCCCGGGCCTGATGCACAGATGCCAGCATGGTGGGGACAGGGTAGTGTGGGGTTGTGTGTGTTGGGGGGGTTGGCGCAAGGTCTGTGGCCCATCGGAGCAGAAGACCAGCTCATAGAAACACCCAGACAGAGAGATGGATGGGTGGGTGTCAGGGGGTGGAGGATCCTAAGCTCACCAGTTTCGTGTGCGAGGAGCGTCCGAAGACCAAAGACCTGGGCCACCAGGATGCCAATGGTAATGAAGAACTGGGGTACCACCCCGAGGGCCCCCCTCAGGTTCTTGGGGGCCAGCTCCCCTAAGTACATGGGGGCAACATTGGAAGACAAACCTGGGAGGTGGGTTGAAATAGAAACACGGTCAGGAAATCTCAGTCTGGCAGGGACAGCCTTTACCTCAAACACCTGCATTCCTACTGAGAAGTTGCCACCCAGGGGCAGGCTGCCCAGCATGGGGGGCTGGTTTATGAGGTGAGAGACCCCAGGGGAGATTGACCCTCCTCAGCAGGAGGGCACTGAAGGAATTAGTGAAACAGAACCCATGAGAGCCCTCTGCAAACTTTAAATTCCCCTACAAAGGTGAGAGGTTGCTGTTATTAACTCCTTTCTGATAGAGGGGTTCATATGCTCAAATATTTCTCAAGCACTTTCTGACCATGATCCAGAGTGGAAAAAAGAAAGAAACCTGTTTTCACTGAAGCCCTGGTTCTCATGTACGGATGCGTGAGGCCAAAGTCAAAGGCCGTTCTTACCTTTACCACACATGACGAAACGAACTCGAATTGCAGAAAAGACAATGCTGCTCACTAAAAAGACCCGTCCCCCACCCCGCACCGGTCCTGACTTGCAGTTTCAAAACTCCCAAGATAAAGGATCAGGTGGGAAGGGACCTTCTGGATCTGGGATATTTGCTTTTCAGCCTCTGGAAGAACAGCTTTCACTGCAGGAAACACCAGGTGACCACACTCATGCCGTCCACCCGTGAGACGGGGTGGCAGGGGCACATGGGGGAGGTGCTGGGGAGTGAGCTTTTGGGAGCTGAGGGTCAGGAGCAGCTTGAACCTAGGGACCCTGACTGCTTCAATCCCAGGGGCCTCCCACCTCGATGATCCTGATCACGGCAGGCCGCCTAGGGCCACACTGTTTACCTGCACATATTCCCACCAAAAACCTGGCCACAATTATCATCTCGAACGACTTGGCGGTTTCACTGCATCCCATCAGGATGGAGGAGACAATGGAAAAGATGTTGTTCAACAGCAAGGTCCCTTTCCTGCAGAGGGCAAATGCCAGTGTGAGAAGGAGTCGCCCATCGTCAGACAGATGGTCACTGAGTGGCTCCCCATGGCAGCCACCACTCTGCTGTGAGGTTTAAAACTCCCCAAGACCCACGGCTGATGAGGTCAAGGGCACAGGCAGGCTGGGGATGGTCTCTGTGAGCCCCTGTGGGGCAGCTGCTGGGAGGGAGGAGGAGAGGAAGGATTAGGGTCAAAATAAGGGGGTGCAATTGTACGGGGAATATAACCCAAATGAAAATGCATACATTGTGCAAAAACGGAAAATGATATAAGAATTATATAAAATAAAATATATTAGACATAAAAAAACCTAAAAAAAAAAGTCAATAGATTTTGATACCTACCAACCTTAGCAACCTTTGAATGCCACCAATCTGAGCAAACTGTAAGTAGAGGGAACTGATGTAAGCTGATCAAGGGTCTCTTTTAATAATCATAACAAACAGGGCCTCCCTGGTGGTGCAGGGGTTAAAGACAGAGCTATCAAGCTATCGCCAACCACTGTGGCACCAGTTCGATCCCCTGCCAGGGAGCTGATCCACATGGCGCAGCAGACCTCTCCTGTCTCACCTGCTGCTCCCGCAGCAATGTATTTCAGTAGATCTTCTTGTTCTGTGCCCCACTCTGTCTCTGGTGAATGCTCTCAACCCCCCCACCCCCCGCATCTCTGGCCTGCACCCCAGCTCTTATATGCATAAATAAATAAATCTTAAAAAAAAAAAAAAAGAAAAGAAAAGAGCAAACTGGGGCTTGGTTTGAGTAAGAAAAATACTGTTAAGAGAGCAATGAGCGTGGGAGTTAGCCTGATCTCTGAATCCACCTGCTACTTCCAGATCCACCCAAGAGCCTATAGACTGGTTACCCCCATTTCTAGCCCTAAGCCCTTACCTAGACCCCAAATATTTTGTCAACCTCTGGTTCCCTTACAGCCACATTAGAAAACACAGGTCTCGGGCCTCCCCGCTGGCACAGCGATTGAGCGCTGGGTTGCGAAGCTGCCCGCAGCCTCTGCAGCGCCGGTTTGATCACCGGCCACTGGGTGAGGGTCCCACATGGCGTGCAGACCTCTCCTGCCGCCTGCTGCTCCCCTCAGCAGTGTACTTCGGTCCTTCTGCCTGCTCTGCTCCCCGCTCTGGCTCTGGTGAATTCTCTCACCCTCCCGCGCTTCTGGCTGTACCCAGTGCTTGTATAAATAAATAAATTAATTTAAAAAATACTTAAAAAAAACCCAAAAAACCATAAGTCTCCATGGTGGATATTGCCTCGTCTTGCAATAAAAGTTTCAGCGTTAGGCAAAGGTTTAAAACTGATGGGGTCTATGAGGTTCGGGAATTGAAAATTCACCTTCTCTTACCTGCCAAGATTATTCACCATGGGGCCCACCAAGAAGGATCCCACAAGGCCTCCGAAGGGAAACATGGACACAGACACAGACCACAGCAAAGTCAAGGAAAATTCACTCAGGTAGTCACTGGTTCTATCGTAGAAGGTTTCGTTATAAAACTCCTTCATGATCTGGAGAGGAAGCAAGACAGGACCCCAAAATAATTTAACCTGATTTTTCAGAATGAACAAAGTGACTTGCTGGACCACCCAGTGGACACACAGGTGGCAGCATGATTAAGTGGGGGAGAGGGAATGGGGACAAGCTGTCATCACCAGCAAATGGCAGAGGGCAGCCGTGGGGCCGCTGCGAGGCCACTGAGAGCACGCTGCCAGGGCCACCCCTCGCTCCAGGAAGGACTGATCCAGCCCTCCAACCCGCTGGAAGGTCCCTGCCCCTGGGTCTCCCCCTCTGACAGCAACGAAGAGCAGAGCCCCCTCCTGGAGGGCAGCCCCCCCTTGCCCACGGGCCTGACTTCCTAACAAGTTGAGCCCTGGGGACCTGGTTCCTCCTCATGGGCCTACAGGGGAGCAAAAAATGACACCCCCGAATCTGTCCTTGGCAAAAGGTTGATGTCGTGGGAGGGGACTCTGAAGGCTGTGTGGAGATTGCTTTTGAAAAAGGTATTTACAAGCAAAGCTCTCTCCCAGGAAGACCTGTTCTTATCTCTCTCCAGTGGAGAAGGCAGAGCTGAAATCTGCATGTCTGTCTACTGTGCCTTTTCCAGTAACTCCTCCACCCCTTCCTTCCTTCTCCCCAAAGTTCCCCATCTTGCTCAGCTATTGAGATGGTGTCTGAAGCCACTCAGTCATGCTGGGGTCTCCCATGGGTGGAAGAAGGCACACAGGTGATTATTCAAGCTGTTTGGCTTTTGTGTCATCGTCTGTCTGATGTTGATTACCTGTGGCCTAGGAGAGTGCAGAAGGCACAGGGGGGCTTCCTTTGCACCCCACAGGCTGTGCTGGGCATCCCTGGGGTGTTTCCCTTTCCCTTCCCTGGGGGACCCATGGTATGGCCCCACACTGACCTTGCCCGGAACAGGTTACCCCAAACCCACCACCTACTGGGGTGGGTTCTATGTCCCGCTCACCCAGCGACCTACCTCAGAAGGGGAGTTGATGGAGGACACATTGTACCCATACTGGAAGGACGACCCAAAGGCAGCGATCAGTGTTGTCAGGGCAAGCACGCGGGTCAGCCTCTGCAGGGGGAGAGGTCAGGGGAGGTCAGGAGGCGGCCCTGGGGGCTGAACACTCTCAACTCTCCTCACAGTCTCAGAGAGCTGTGGCCCCACAGCGTTTCAGCTGCCCCCATCCAGCTCCAGGCTCAACTCAGAGCTTCGGAACACCCTTCTCTGCAACTGTGCAACCCAAATGTCACCCAGGAGAGTGGGGAGTCACTCTTGGGTGGGAACCTTGGGGACAGAAGACACAGAGAGGCTCCTGACACCAGTGCAGCTGCATCTGATGTCCACATGCTCTGGGACATTCCTGCCACACGGCCACATTTGCCAACTGGAGCTAACGTGCTCCGGCACAAACCCCCTTAAAAGTCAACGAGAAACGATGTGAACAATTTTAATTATTTAAGGTCACCTGTAGCCCCTGGACTTTGGCTGAAACAGGCAGAAGGCACAAAGAGAAACGTTTAAATAGAGATTTCTGGGGACTCTAGAGCATTGTGACCATGTCCCTGCTAATGCTTGAGGAGACGGAGCACTCATTTTAGATAATCTTTTGTGGCAAGGGGACGTTCATTACTAATGAAAAGAGGGAGAAAGTACAGGTGGAGAGAGAATCCACCAGAACCCACAGATGTCATGTGGGGTTTGCCACTGTCACGGCTTAGCTTCATTTCTTCAGTTACTTTATCTTTGAAAGGAGGCGAACAGCATAACTGGAGCCCAGTGACACCCAAGGTCAGTGAGGCTGTGTGGGCCGCAGGGTGGGCTGCTGTCGGGGGGAGCTCCAAGCCCACCCCAAAGTGCCGTGTCCTGTGCCTTATGTTCTCCCTTAAGGACTTACGTCCTCACTTTACGTCGTCATAGGGTCTTGGAAGCTGTGACTTCAAGCAAAATGATGTAACAGAACCATCTAGTCATAGATGAAGTGATATCACAAAAATAATTTCTTAGGGCAGATTTCTGACCAGGACAACATCCCCAAACTCCTAATTAAAGACCCCAGACACGTCTAACATTGAACAACCATTTGTCTTCATTCATTCATTTCAACCCTCCACCTGCTTATTCCAGTTTAGGGTTGAGGGGTGCGGCAGGGGTGGAGGCCTCACACTGCAGCTCAGGGTCAAGGTCAACCCCAGGCAGGATGCCCTTCTACCCAGGAGGGGGGGTGGTTCCTGGGCTGCTGCTTGAAACACCTGCGCTTGCCAAAGGTAGGCGGTGTACAGGTGTGCCCCCTCCACACGCCCCACCGGAGACACGGGGCAGGGCAGACCAGACACAGCTCTGGGCACTGCCCCCCCCACACACGCTGAGCTGAGCGCCACCCCGAGTGCTGAGCGCTGGGGATTCAGGGGAAACAAAACGAAGAATCCTCCTAGAGCTCTTCTATTGCGGGATTGTGTGGACAGAGGGGAGAAGGGAAGGCAGGAGGGAAGAAGAGAGAGGGGTGGAAATAGCAAATACTGATGAAATGTTTCCCTCTTCTACGTCTTTCCCGAAATAATAATTAACCATAAATGCCGCAGGCTTCATTCAAGCTGCCAGGTGCACCTCCTGCCCTCTCCCTGTTTGACAGGCCCTAAGGTTTGAAGTCCTGAGCACACTCAGCAGGGGAGCTGGCTGGGGCCATGAGGCTCCTGCCCCTGCGTGGGGGAGAAGGGGGCCCGCCAGGCCGCATCCGCAGCCGGTTCCCAGACTGCTTTTATGGGATCGCAACAAAAACGATCAGCAAGACCTCAGCGCAGAGCATGGCACGTGACCCCGAGTGCTTGCTCTCCACCTGAAACGTGAGCCAGGGGAACATTCCAGGGACCTGCCGGAATCAGGGATCATCCTTGGAAATGGCAAAGATATTCTGGGTAGGTTTTCGCATAGAGGTGCAAACACCTTTGCTCGTTCAATAGTTATTTACTGACAGCTGATGACACCCAGTCTGGTGAGCTCCTTGGGAAGCCAGGTGAGGGATTTGGTCCTGGGCTGGAACAGAGCGCTAGGGAAGGGGAAGGGCCACAGAGGACATACAGCTTATTAAAATGACAAGAGACTCAGCAGTCTCCAGGGCCCAAAGGGGGCTGTCTCCTCAGAGGTCCAGGGGAGCCAGGACTCTGGGCCCTGCTTCTGGGAGAAACCAGACCACAACCCTCAGGCCCACACAGTAAATGGTGCCCTGGTTTTTTGTGATGCTGCGAACATTTTGCTGTTGCTGAGACACCCACCCTCGGGGGCCCTTCTAGCTGGGGTGAGATCAAGGACGCAGGGAAGGAAGGCCCGCCCAAAGCCTGGCCCTCTGGAATTTGCCTACACGCCCCCATTCCACTGTCAGAGAGACGGGCTCCGTTAAGATTTTTCCTTGGCTGGAATCTCCAATCAAAGGAAACGTTGGAAAAGCTTATTTTACGAAGCATCACTCCCTCCGGTTCCATCCTGTTGTTTCAAGTGGCAAAAGTCCATCTTTTTATTATTCCCATTTTATAGGCGAGAAAATGGAGGCACAGACCAGTTGTCTGTGCCATAACTTGACCCAGTCCCGAGCAGGAACAGGAGGGGCAGGAACGAGTCCAGGTACCCCCACCTCCCAAACCGCTGGGAACCCCTGGGAACTGCTGAGCCACAGAGCACCTTTGGGCCTTGCCGAAGGCCTGGCAATCACACCCAGAACTGAATATTGACCATCTGCACAAAAATATGCCTCTCCCCACAGATGTAAGCAGATGCTGCAAACCCGAATAAAACGCACGTGTCTTAAAAGTGTTAATAAATTCAAATGATCTTTCTGTCATTGTGTAATTTCCTCAAGCCCAGGACTCTAAAAATATAATCCAAATGATATGGGCAGTAATCAAAATCCAGAAAACTTTTATCTCTAAAGAAAGGGAGACTCATCATTTAAAAGGTAGAAAAACCGTGAATTTAAATGAGATGGAGGGGCATATTTCCAGGCCCAACTTCTACTCATGTCAAGCAGCTATGCTATTTGATGAGCAGGTTCAATAAAATGCTCTGAGGCCAGAATCAGTTCCCCAAACACTGCAGCTTGGGTAAGGATTTTGATGCTGCTTTCAGAATCCCCTCGCCTTAGGGCCTCAGGGTTAAGGTGGTTGGGTGTCTTTGCAGTCTCTTTAATCTGATTACAGGTACAGGCTGTCCTGTTGGAATGAGTGCCGAAGATTCTCTAAACCTGGACATACCCAAATCTCTGCTCCAGTTCCTGCAAACGTCTGGCTGCTTGGGGAGGGGTGGTTGCCCCCAAAGGGTCCTCCCCACACAGGGCTTGCCAGAACGCCTCCCAACCAGGCCAGCAGTGGCTCTCCATGTCCCTTCCCTGGGGGCACACTTACCCCTTTCTTCTCGGTCTCCTTCATCTTTGCTCCGAAGGGCAGTGTGTGGCTTGTCTCCTTCTAACCAAAATAACAGATGCACTGAGTGCAGAGAAGACATTCCGGCTGCACTTTGGCCACGCCAAGGAGCAGCCAATAGCATTTTTATAACCCGTCTAAGGCGGAAGAACCTTAGACCTGGGGCTTCATGTTCCTTTCACTTCTTGAAATGAAATGTCTGGGATTTAGTTCAGCAAGTGGGCACCCCCAGAACTGCAGACACAGCCCTTCCTGACTGGGACCATCTGCAAGATTTCCTCTGCAAAAGCCTCCACCAGTCAGGCTCACCGAGTGACAGAGGTTATTTCTGTCAGAAGCACGCGGAAAGCAAGAGCTGCCACCGACCAGACACCGCACCGGGGCACTTGGGGGCCAGAGACAGGGACCCCAGAGACTTCTCAGAAGCGGTTTCTGCTAGGAAGCCTGTTCTAATAGAGTCAGCTTTAGCCCAAACAACCACACTACACTGTCTTGGAGAGCTTCTGGAAAGGTTATTTTCAGTGTTATCATCATTCTTGCAAAGGCAGAGAATACTCTAAGGCTTTCTATGAGCAGGGCAGAGAAAGTGAGTGACGCTGCTGGGCTGGGTCCTCCAGGCACGGCCAGGCCACTGCCAGCCCCTTGTGCTGGGCACACCAGTTAAGAGCAACATGTAGGGTCCAGGCCCACCAGGCCTTCATCCTCACAGGACATAGTCCTGGTTTCAGTTGCTCTGGCACAAATCTGGTTCATTAACTCATTCATTCCACTCATGAGCCACCTTCAAGCAGACAGCAGCTGGGCGTCCCGAGTGGAGGGCACTGACTGGGCATCGGCGGCAAACTCAGGAATTGTAGCCAGGCTCCTCTGTGTGGGAGACCAAGGAGCTGACGGTGTAATAGGCTCTGTGTGGGGTGGAGCATGGTGCGTGTGTGTAGTATGCGTTATGTGAGATTATGTATGTGTTGGGGGTGAATGTGGTATGTGTATGGCCATATGTGATGTTTGTGTGGTGCATGTGGTGTGTATGTGAACAGTACTGTGATGTGTGTGGCGAGTGGCACAGGTGATGCGTGTGGTATGGATGTGTATGGCATGTGATGCATGTGGAACAGGTGTGGTATATATGATGTGTGTGTTGTGTGGCACGTGTGATGTGTGTGGTATGTATGTGCTGTGTGTGTGTGTGTGTTGTGTGTGGTATGTTGGGGGTTGCCGAGGCCCCTTCACAAGGCAGGACTGACCATTTCCTTTCACCAACTTCACTTACTATCCTTCCTGCATCACAGCTCTAACACCACGATTTCTAGTGAGGGTTTGGCCAGGCCGTTTCCCCGATTATTTCAAAGGGTTTGGAACAATTCTCCAGAGAAAACGCTCTTCAGTTGGGGGTGAGGGGGGCGGGGTCACCTACCGGGGGGGACAGGTCGTGCACTCAAAAAGAAATGGCGGCGGCTCTCAGGCACCAGCCAGGGTTAGGCGAGAGGGAAAGAGCCGGCTCCGGCCCGGCCACCCCCGCGCTCCCCGGGCGGCTCCGCAGCCGAGAGCTGGAAACGCGGATGATGGCGGCTGAGGACGCGACCTCCGCCAGCCGGGGGCAGCGAGGGCGGCCTGAGGGCCGGGGCCGCAGGCTCTGAGGGGACTGTTTGAGGAGGCGCGGGGCGCGGTACCTGCTCCTGCGGGTCTCCGGATGACGCGCGCAAAGCCCGGGCACCACCAACGCCTCGGCGTGGAGGGCGGAAGCACGAGCGGGAGAGGGCGAGGCGGGAGGCCGCCATGACGCCCGCCGGGCCGCTCCTCGGTGGGCTGCGGGGCGGCGCCCAGGGCCAGGGAGCGCGGGCGCTGTAGTGCCTCGGCCACCGCAGCCCTGGCCCCGCTTAGCCCAAGATCCCCGCCCCGCTGCGGGCTTGAGGGGCCTCCAGCCCGGGCTTGGATGCCATTGGGTCTGGCGAGGCCAGGAGGCCCTGAGGACACTTGGGGAGGCCCTGGGGACACCTGGGGGAGGCCCTGGGGACACCTTGGGAGGCCCTGGGGACACCTGGGGAGGCCCTGAGGACACCTGGGGAGGTCCTGGGGACACCTGGGGGAGGTCCTGGGGGACACCTGGGGAGGCCCTGGGGACACCTGGGGAGGCCCTGGGGACACCTGGGGGAGGTCCTGGGGACACCTGGGGAGGCCCACTGGGGAGGACCTGAGGACACCTGGGGAGGCCCTGGGGACACCTGGGGCCTCCAGAGGAGCCTGCAGTGTCGGAAATGAGCCCGCGTGCCTGAGACTGTCCCTGGCCAGGCCCTCTGTGTCCCCTGCCAGGTCTTCCCTGGCCCAGCTTGACACCAGCACCGCTGACCGCTCACCTCTAGCTGCCATGGGGCCTGTGGGTGGGGGCGGGGTGGGGCTCCTGGGGGTTCTGGGGCCTCTGCTGGTGGGGACTGTCCCTGCCCGGGGCCTTCCAGGCCCCTGTCTCAGGCCCATCTGAGGTGTGTGGCCTGGGATCACTCACTCGAGTTGTCTTCCGTTCTTCTCCCTTAACATCCGTGTTTATTAGCCACCGGATCTGAAAACGGGGTTTGGTCTCAGATGCCCGTTGGCGGCCTCACCCTCTGCACCCTGCCCTTGTCTCTGTCCTGTATGATCTAGGAGGGGAACCTGCCAATTGGGGCCTATTTTCACCTTGGGTTTAACGTGGCAATAATAAATAATACTGATTAACCCGAGAGCTTTTTGTCTTGGTCGCAGATCGCAGGCTGAGGCTGCCCCCTGCAGGCAAGGCGCAAGTCAGAAACCACCTTGTGTTTTGAAACTAGGTCTCCTGAAAGCCAAAGAAGGACTTTTAAGGTAAAGGGAGAGTGGCCAGTGGTAGGGCCACACCCCGGACTGGCAGGGACTTCCTGACTTTCCCCTCCCCAACCCTTACAGTTTGATTCATCACAGGGAAATTTTATTAGGATTTTGCCATTGAGGGAGAGAATGACCCCTCGCCAGTTTTCTTCTCTAACTTCTCATGATGGGTGAAGTAACAAGAGGATATGGGTCCAGATCTCAATTCCCATATAGTTATTAACAGAAAATGCAAATATATTAGCTCACAAGTTTGGAAGACTTGTCAGATGATTTTAATCCTAGCCTATATTTACTGAGCCTACTACAGAACCAGAGGGCAGACATAATAGGGTGCAAAAGCAAAAAGGGCCTTGGCCTCATGTGACTTAGACTCTAGTTGGGGAAACAGGATTTCGTCAAATAAGCACATTGATGAATTTATAATCATAAAGGGGCTCTAAAGGTGGTGCAGGTAGTTACTGGTCAGTGAAGTCTTCCTAAAAATGTGAACTCGAGCTGTGATGGGAAGGGAGGATGAATAGAGCCACCCAGACATGGGCGGGATGTGCAAAGACCCTGTGGTAGGCAGGAGCATAGTGTCCTCAAGTAACTGCAAGATTGGTATGGCTGAAGGGCACAAAGCAGAGTGCAAGGGGGAAGGAGAAGGCGCTTGGAGAGGTGGGCACTGCTGGCCGTGGTAAGTCTGGAGTATTGGTCTAGGAGCAGATAGGAGGTGTCAAGAGTTTCGGAGAGTGATTGGATTTGTGTTTTTGAAAGTTCACTCTGGTTTCTGAGAGGAGATCTGATGAGGGCGCAGTGGATTTGGGGAGGGGGAGAGGAGCAATGATTCTTTGTCACACACCAGGTGAGAGATGATGGTGACTTGGCCCAGGAGTAGCGGTAGAAATTAGAGAAGTAATACTTCTGACAAATATTTGACATGTACAATTGACAAAATGTGAGCTATAGGATGAGGGGAGGGGGAAAGAAAGGGATTTCTGTTTTACTGTTATAATGAAACAGAAAATTAAAAAATGAGCTTTCTGAAAATGAAACTCTTCAGAATTATTTAGGGAATTTTAAGCAGGAGGTAAAATGCTGAATTAGCACCACAGAGCAGACTGAAAAATCCCCAGGCTATTCTGGGACCAGGAAATGACACCAAGACTCATTCACCGCTGGTCTCACCTCCATGAGGAATGTTCTGGAATTGCAGCGTTTTGCCATGGGCATCTATTGTACAAACTGTTGTGGCTCATCCAACCCACCCCAAATTCATTTGCTCGGTTCCTTTTTAATAGCAATAGAATTTGGGGTGGGACACCTCACTGGCCCCAATAAAGACTGCCTCCCTTTTGCCCTGGCGGTTGGCGTGGATATGTGACAGAGTTGCCTAATGCAGCGTCTGTAAAGGTGTCTGGGAACCTGGCCGTCTTCCTTGTCCCTGTCTCCATCCTGCTGCCTGGAATGCAGATGCCACCACCTTGGACCATGAGGTTGAGTCACGTGGGACGGAGCAACACGCAGGAAGGAGATGGGTCCTGACCTAAGGCGGTGCTGTGCCAGCCCCAGCCCACCCTTCTGGACATAACATGGCAAACATCCTCCATTCATTTTCTGATTCGAAGTTGAACTAAATTCTCACTGATAGGACAATTAAACAGCCTGTTAGGAGAGAAAATGGAAAGGGATCCGGTCCTTGAAGAAGCTCTAAGAACATTTTTGTATATGTATTTGCTTGTCTGAATTGACTAAGGCCTAAATCGGGTTAAATTTTTTGATGAAATGGCTCTCTGCTGCATGTGAACGGCCTAAGGACCTGTGTTGTAAGGGAGAATGCCCGAGCCCCCCCAGGTTGCTGGGCTGCTGGATGCAGATGTTAGTGGAGATTGAGCCAGGCTGCTGTTTTTATTAGGGCTGCATTTGTTTTTGTTTGCGTTCAGATTAAAAAGTCGTGTGGGGTTCTTCCATGGCCTGATTTCCCCCTTAAGTCCTGTTTTTTCTATGTGGCTCAAAGTAGATTTGGGGGTTCTAGGGACCTGCCTGGGACATTAGAACAGAATGTTGCATGTGCCTTGGGGCACAGTGAGGCTGCTAGGTGGGTGCGGTGTAATTCAGGTCGCTTGATTGGAGGGAGGGGCTGGAAAGGAGGGGACAGAGGGTCATCCACCCTGCAGCACTAGATAAGAAGTTCCAACAGGTCCTGGCACAGATCCAGCTACCCTATTGGGCCCTTGTTCTGTGTGTGTGGGGGTGTCCAGCAGGTCGACAGACCTCCCAACTCGGTGCCCATGTGGAATGACACCCCTCTAGGCCTGCCACCTGGCCATTCACCCAACTCTGCAGCGTGGGTGGGTGGGAGGGGGAAAATGTGCCTGCTCCAAGTTAATCTCCTTGCCCAGCAATCAATTCCATGCTCTGCCATCATTAAAGCCTCTGAGAGTATCACATGCCCCAACGCATGATCATGCGCTGATCATGCGCTGGCACGCCTGGTGAGTGCGTCAGAGAAATCTCAGTTCCTGTGTTTTCCCACCAAGAACAGAATTCAACCTCACCTGTCAAAGTGCATGTGCACAGAAGGGTGTGTTCCTGGGGGACTCACGGGTGGGGAGTGTGAACACCAGTGTCTGAAGCTCCTTAGCAACACAGATGGCTTCTGTTGCTTGCATGTTACCCTCAGCAGACAATCTTTAATTAAATCCTTATTTTTTTTAAATTATGGTAAAAAATATAACAAACTTTGAATTTAATGAACCATTTTAAAACGTACATTTCAGTCATGCTAAGTACACTCACATTGTTGTGCAAAAGATTTCCAGAATTTTCTCATCTCGCAAAACGAAAGCTCTGTACCACCTTTAAAAGACAAAACTCAAAAACTTCGAGATCTAAGGGATTTATAAATGACCCAGGAGTCAGGCAGCAGCCTATGTAGATACTGCAGAAGGTGTCACAAAATGGAGGGACAAGGTTAATAGCCAAAGAAAGGATCATTTCAGAGAGTCTCTTCCCTCTGGGGTCGTTATTAACATGCAGATGACCTCGCTGGTGCTGAGGAAACACTAGGTTGAAGGTTTAGGGTGATACTTTTGGAAGAGTCTGACACTGCAGCAGGTGTTAAACCTGGATGAGGCTTTTTGTTTTTTTTCCCTATTTTTAATACTACCACACAGCATCTCCGCCCCTCCCCGGTTCTGGCAACCACCATTCTCTTTTCTGTTTCTGTGAATTGACCGGCTTTACATATTCCTATAAGTGGAATCATACAGTATTTTCCTTGTTGTGAGTAACTAATTTCACTACGCATGATGGCCCCAGGTTTCATCCATGTTGTGTGTAAGGACGTGGAGGAACCAGAACACGTATACATTGTTGCTGGGAATGTAAATGGTCTGACTGTTGTGGAAAACAGCTTGGTGGATCTCAAAAAGCTAAACAGGGAATTACCCTATGACTCAACAATTCTAATCCTAGATATATACCCCAAAGAATGAAAAACAAGTATTCAAAATATACGTACACGTTTAATCAGTGTAGGGAAGGACATATTTTCCTTCTGCCCTTCTTTGGCTGTCTAATAATTAAAATGACAAGACAGATTAACAGGAGAAAAAAATTAAATTGGCTATGTGTGGGAAGTCCACAGAGAGAAGGTGCTTCCTGACTGTTGTGGAATGGGGTATATGTGGACAGTTCACAGGAAGAGCAAATGTTTGGTAACTGAGTGTTTCGTGGGACA